GGACGAAATGGCGAAGAGTTCTGTCGGACTCAAACAGACTAAAATTAAACAGTGCTCCATCGTCGGGCCTTGGTGTGGCCTTAGGCCTATAAAGTAAAAACGTATAGGCGTATATAGAGAGGCGCGTGGGACACGTCGCGCGGCCGTTTCCAGTGAACTTCTGTGAAGGGTAGCTTTGTCCCTTATGCTCAGGCAAATGCTGTTGGAGCCCGAAGAGTGTTTGCACTCTCCGACGTCTGGTGCGTCTCCTGCAAGTACTAGTTTTCCTTAATTGTTCTCTTTCCACCGCAACTTGGGTATTCATCTCCACTCGCAAAAGTGATAGGGTAATCATCATGAGTATCAGGGTTTTCCTTCCTAGGGTACACCTGGTTCCCCGGCAACTGGTACTCGAGACGGCGTGCGGTTTTTGGTCGGTTCGAGTCCGACATAATCACCCGTGGGTGGTATCCGAGGGGATTTTCGCATAGAAAAAAAAGGGTAATCAGCATGAATGCGAGACGCCATTATACATATCTCGAATTTACACCAAGTTTCATTAGGATAACACAATACTAAGTAATAGATATTCAGATCAAAATGGTTTACTTTTCCAAAGTCAATTGTTTAAGATTAAAGTAAAAATTTAAGAATATGCACACTTAAGTTTGTTGAAAATTTCTAATTTTAAAGTTATTGTTTTTTCTAAACTGAAGATATAGATAGGCAATTCAAATATGAACTAATAAATATTGAATAAATTTAGTTTTAATAATATTTGAACATGATATTAACACAGCTAAATCTGATCGCCGCGCCGTCTTGATATCGTTGTTAAATGTTTGTCTTGTCAAAACAAACATTACTCATTTTATTTCTTTGTAAATTTTATACACAACGAAAACCACTTCATTGCATCATAAAATGACGCGATATTTTTACGAATTTAAGAACCATTATTCATTATTCGGACAAATTATGAATGACTTCAAACAAACGGAACGCAGACTTGTAACGGAAATGTAAGCACCCAAGGAACATCGAGGCTTGTTTAACTGCAGAGGAAAACAATGACATATGGTCACTTAACAGACGTGTAATAAAAATTTTCGTTGTTTCTTTATCCTCCTAACAAGGAAGGCGGGCACCGTAGATTTCTGCTGAAATTAGAACCGAAGTACATAAGACTACTTTTATAAAATGTGGCTGAGGTTGTGCTGTTTTCTTGCGTTAAAATAGAGTCTTCATAACTCCAACTGGAAGACGATTGATTACTATTTCAAATGTGTCTAGATACTGGTAACCGTTTTCGAATAGAATAAGAGTCAAGTTTTGTAATGAAATTTGCTCTAGCAGTCTAGCTATTAGGTCGCGTCTTACAGCCATCGCACTCCGGCCATTTTTAAACGCACGACAATCTAGTTGCTTTGAAAATATTGGCCGATAGTTCCGTTTTGTCAGTGTTGTCTTGCAGATTTATGAGTAACCACTGCAAGGGTTGGCCACTGACAGAAATCAGATAAAACTGGTTGCAGTAAACATCGAACATTTCCGTGCCACACTATGGCTGACGTGGATAAAGTGCACACAACTGATCGTCAGTCTGGCAATAGTTCAGTAGAATAAGATGCGTGCGCTTACATCGTACCCACACGTTATCCAATGGCCAATATTTGTACGATAGTTTGGTCAAATAGCACGACATTCCCGAAGAAACGAAGAAGTGTATAATACTGTTGTAACCTTTTTTTTTTAAACAAAATTATCGTAACTAACAACGGAGACCGAGGTGTGACAATAAAATTTATTACGGTCCCTTTGCACGGCAGGTTTTTTGTTACAAAGTTCTCTGATATTTTTATAATATATAAAATAAAAATGTAAGCACAAATTGATAGTGTAGCTTCTTTCCTTAACGTTCCTTTCCGTAATCTGTCTGAAGACATCATAGCATGAAAACGCATACACCTTACAAATATCACACGTACACAGACATACACTTGCATACACTTAACGTACACACAAACACCATTTACACAAGATAGTTACCAAAACACATTTAATTACTAATAGTAAAAATTGTGAACTTAGTTGTTAGTACTTGTACTGTAAGATCGGATGTGCCCACATCATTAATGGCTTCGACACAGTTTAGTAGCCATTATCATTTAATGATTGTGAAAATGTAACAAGGCTTTCAATAAAATATTAAAAATAAAAATATTCTTCTATAAAAAGACATAAAAACTAAGAAACGAAAAAATATTTTTTGTTTATAAAAATGTATTCCTTACCTTACATTTATAATTTATCATCATCTCAGCCGTAAGACTTCCACCGCTGGACATAAGGTTCGCCACAACAACCGGTCCTAGGTACCTATAACTCATCCAATTGATACTTAGTTTTAAAATAAAATCAAAACCAATTTCCTTACCTTTCGTAAATCCCCTGAGGCTGTGATGTGTCTTGGCTCTCTATTGCATCATTGAAAATAAATTGTATCTTATAAATTGAGTAATGTTTAGACTAACGAATGATTTAGGTAGGTATATTACGTATGGAGGTTTTTTAAACGATAAGTTCGAGAACCGGCTTGGAACGTAAAACTAGCAATACAGTGTAAAAAAAATGGAATCTCAGTATAGTATGACTTAGCCAAACTAAGATTAGTACATGGGTCTTAGTCTTATGTACATGGGTCTTAGACCACGAAACAACCATTTATTTATTTAGTGGTTTAAGCGGTCGCCATGCCGCTTCCTACTACGCTGAGTGTTGTGGGTTCAAACCCCACATGGGACAACACTTTGTGTGATCCACAAATTGTTGTTCTGAGTCTGGGTGTTCTTTGTGTCCGTTTCATGTATGTTTGTAAAGTCCCCCGCAACACAGGATATATTCCTAATGCGGGAGTTGTCTTTTATAAGAATAAGAATTTATGGTCCTTCTAAATGAACATACTAACGATGTAAAAAAGTTAATTTGAAGTCGTATCTAAAGGAATGGTTTTTTTATCGTATGTATATGTTGTTTGGAGTTTGGAGGACAATACATCTTAAAGCAAATCTGATGATGATGTTAGGAGGTAGGTAAATAGTAGACCTCTTCAGTGGTTATTAATAATCTTTGAGTTTCGGTGCACAAGATTAATTTTCAGGTGTCTATGGCGTTTTCACTCGCTTTCGGTAACGGCGGTTCATCGCGTCAGAAGGCGCTGTCTTTGTTGTCAAGGCGATGTCAATTCGATACATGTACGCACTTGCTCTTTTGTCATATTCTTTGAGCGTCGCGTCTGCACGAAGTTTCTCGCGACAATAATCCCGACACCTGAAGTACCTTACAAGTCTTTACAATTCGGATTTGATAACTATTGTCTGACGATGAAGACAGGGTGAAGATTATGGAAATCTTTAAATTCTTTTTACAATTAAAGCATTTTTTTTAGTTTTATAAAACTTACAACACTTACAAAGAACGGATTAATATAAACATAGATATCGGGACCCAAACCCGTGACTTTTGAAGTGACGGTTATTTGACTTATCGCAACTCCATAATGACCATAATAAAAATTCATTAAATTCAAAGGCTATTTATTGAGTACCAAGCAACCAGCTTTGGTCAATCGGTCGTCCCCACTGCTCCTTCACGACAACGCGCGACCCCATACTGCGCAACAAACAGTCTCCAAGCTGCAAGATCTGGGGCTGGAAGCTCTCCCTCATCCGCCATACTCACCAGACCTTGCACCTACCGACTATTACTTTTTCCAAAATTTAGACAACTTTTTAGTGGGTAAAAAATTCAATTCCCGAGAGGCAGTACAAAATGCCTTTGAAGAGTTTGTTGCCTCCCGTCCAGCTGATTTTTACAAGAAGGGCATCAATAAACTGCCAATGCGTTGGCAAAGATGCGTCGATTGCATGGGTGATTACTTCGAATAACAGAAATAAAAAAGTTTGAAAAAATAAGTACTTTCACTTATTGCATACAAAACGGCAATTTCATAGGTAAAGACCTATTATTTTGGAAGTGTAAGCAATATCTCGAGTAGGTTATAGCCAGCTGTTGCCTAAAAGTCCTAGCCCTGCAATAAAAGCAAAGAAAAGAAAACAACCCAAATAAATTAATAAGTCTATATTTAAATATTTACTCTGTTGCGCCTTTATGGAGTCGTCTGATAAAAATGTAAATCCCAAGATGTCTCATCCTACAAACTTTTGATATCTTTCTCAAGTTCCAAGTAACGTGGGTGCATGTAAAAAAATTATTCCCTATTTTCCTCTTATTTAAAGATTAATGCGCTTATTATGGGTTTGCGTGATAACTCTTGCTTTTTTCAAGATGCATAAGGTTTTATGATTTTTATCAGTTTTTTCCCAATTTGTATAATGATTTAGGAAATGTGCTTGAAAAACACGATAGTCTAATGTCAAAATAAATCAGTTTCATTTTATTAACGTCAACACTGCAAGTTTTGTAGAAACTTGTATGAGATAATGACTTGTGACGTCACACTTTGTGACTTCACTATTGTCAAATCATTTGCTTTTAATATTTGGTTTGTCAATAAAAAAATAACTTTATATATTCAAGAAACTTCTACAGTCTACATCCAACGGCTTCCTGCGGCCTTCACCAAGTCCGGTGATCCGACGATATTACACCTATTTTTGTTGCCTTTAGCCTACCTATATTTGTTGAATATAACAGGACAACTTCGTGTCCGTACTGGTTCAAAACGTGCCCGCATAGTGCTTAGTTAACATTAGCTATTGTCCACGGCTTTACTCGCACGATTATTTATTATTTCGCCGTTCATCTCTTATTTTTACACCTAGGGGTGAAATTGCCAAAAACCCATTCTTAGTGAGTGCTTACAACTTAAAAACCATCAGTTTGTAGGCCTAGCGTTTTAGGCTCTGCGTTGATAAATCAGTCAGGCCAAGTAACTATATGTGTAAAGATTACTGCAAACCCTTTGAAAATATGATCATTTGTTTCAGGCACTTTATAAAATGGGGTCATCACATTCAATTCGTTCAACTCACTTCCAACGTCCAACCAAGGATGCCAACGTAGAGAGTATTGCAGAGGAAGAATTTGATGACCAGCGCAGTATCAGCATCACCAACAAAATGGTAAGTTAATAATGTCTTTAAATTCTTAACACGTAATATACCATTTGATCGAATCGAACCGATGGAAATTATAAAGAGTGCACTACTATCTCAAAGACAAAAAAAGTGCCCCGAGGCACTTCTTTTGGAACTAAGTCTATTAGTTAAAAGAGATTTCTATCCATAAGAAGTGCCTTGGGTTTTTTGTCCCATCTGGCGTTGGCGTCACACAGTCCGCATTCAGCCAATCGAAACTTATGAAAAGGGCAAGAAAATTATAAAAAATGTGACACTTTTTTAGAATAAAATTATTTCTGATCAGAACGTAAGGTTCTAAATGTTTATAACATACATATGTTTATAATACACAAATAATGGAACACAGAATTCTACGTCACATAAAAAAAAATGTTTAGATGATACGTACACACGTTTAGGGGCGCTACACACGGCTAAGATACTATAATATTTTATCTTAAGATATACTATCTCTATACTTTCTCGCCATACTATCTCTATCTTACGATACGAAAATATGATATAAATATTATCTTCGTCGTGTGTAATGGTCTATTGAATAGTATGGCGAGCGATATTGTATCTTAAGATAAAATATTATAGTATCTTAGCCGTGTGTAGCGCCCTTTACGCTGCTTCTTCTAACCAGACATGTGCGCATGTGTGTGTAGATTTGTAAAATGATGACATGTACACACTAATTCCTAACATAAACCAAAATCGTATATTTATAGATTAAGTATACCACTTATAAAAATAATAAATTTTAAGTAATATTGACACAATTGGTTCTTACTTATATAATAATGGCGAATAATGTATCTAGTTTCAGCCTAATGGCTGCTGCGACTGCATGCTGTTGGCGCTGTAGGTGACAAATTTTGAACGACACCTTAATAACAAATAACTGAGAAGTGTCTGTTATTTATCTTCTGATATAGATTTATCAAGTAATGTCATAGAATTGAAATATTTGATATTTGAAATAAAACTTTGCACCTTCAACTTAAAACGTCATCTAAGTAAACAATAAACAAAACTAATTTAACCAAGCTAGACATTTTCTTACACAAATAAGTTTATCATAAAATAAATAATTAATAATTTCTTACAATATTAATAGATCTTTTTTTTCCCGTTGGCTTTCATTATCTATATAGTTAAGCAAATCCATGCCAATTTTAACACTGTAGCTTCAGCGAATTCCACCGAAAACCTTCTAATTTGTGGCTCATAAATAAAACACCGGCAACGCACTTATAAATCTTGAATTGCATGTAGCCAAGGGCATTGGTAGTGACTTACTATTAGGTAACTTGTGTGCACGTTTTCACCCACACCAGAAAAAAGGTTTAATAATGATGATTGTGAGCTCATGATTTCATTATACGTTTAGGTTGAAAGACTTGTGGAAGATGCTACACTAGCAGGAGGCGCAGCTCCGGCTGCTCTACCACCCAAACCAAAAGTAGAGTACAGAGACAAGATATACTCGGAGAAACTGAAGTGCATGGACGATAACCATTCCGAGAGATGCAGGTATTTAGCATTACCCTTATCTATATGTACTGAAGGTAGTAAATTCAACGGATTACTACTCCATATATTATGACCAAAACTATTTCAAAAACCAAAATAGTGCGAATAGGGCTCTTGTTTGCAGGGGCTCCCTATGCTTGGTGACTTGTTTTCTTAAAGAAAAGCTCATTTTTAGCTTGTGTTGTCATACTATATTTACGAACGTAGTCGAGTCGTAATAGTCCTCGTATGCACTGAAGATTTCCAATCTATTGATTTTTTATTTAGCCCGGTTATAAATACCGATATCACTTAGGACCTAAAACAGTCCTATCAGTTGTTACAAGTTAATTTAATTCATCGTTTAGCCTATAACTCCAGGATTTTTAATACACTGGTTTCACAATCTTTTCTCCTAGACTTATAAAAAAATATTTTAGGTTTTTAATTATAATAGTATTTATTGCTTAATTTTAATTTATATAATATATAAATTTCAATCGTAATAAATCGATGATATTTTCTATGAAATAAAATAGTATTTCCCAAAATTTCCAAGAATTCCTGTTTTGTATATGAAACTTATCAAGTCAATTAAATTTAGGCTTTCTACACTTTATATCATCTAAATAAATATAAATTGTTCTATTAATCTTTAAAAATCAAATCAAGCAGTTTGAAATAAAATAAAAGTAGTTTTTAGTTAGCCAACTCGTGGCGATACTGTAAGATGTCATCTTTTGACCACAGGATGGGATACCCCAGGGAGTTGTGTGAGCTCCTATCAGAGGTGAACAGTGTCCATGAACAAATAAGTGACATTTGCACCAAACAAGGAGAAATATTTACATTTATAAGTCATTGTCAACAAAAAATTGACGAATGTAACGAGAATTTGGACGTCCTTAATAAAAAATTAAAATCTGTGGAAACTCGCGTCAGCCATCAACTTCTTTGTTTGACAAATCTTATACCAACTGCAACAAATCCTGATATAAACAGTACAGAAAAAGAAACTGGTGAAGATGATCACTCAAAAGTCACTACTATAAAACCACTGAACGAATTGGTGTCTCCACCTGTAAATATCTTTACAACGACAGAAAGAAATCAAGAGATTAGTACGGTTAACAATGGTCTATGTAAACAACTGGCTACATTTGATAATTCTCTAAATAACGGTGACCAAATTAACCATGGTCCATCTACTTCAGATGAGCTAACAAAAGAAGACGATAATATCAAAGACAACAAAGAAGTCTATCATGATACTGAAAACCAATGTGCTCCTATTTGTGGTTCCTGTGGATGTAGTAAAACAGCCATCAATGAGAAGAAATTCATTCATTTATGTAACATCACGGCAGATTCTAACGACATTAAAGCCCATTTACGACATCTGTGTGATAATAGAAAGTGCAGTGTGCAGCAAATTAATTCCAGGGGTAATAAAAAGTCATATAAAATTGGTGTTCCGATAGATCTATACGAAAAAGTGATATCACCGAAAATTTGGCCTGAAAACGCACTTGTACGGCCTTGGGTTTCTTTTCGTAGAAATCGCCAACAAGAATAAGATGGTTCTTCTTACATGATCTCAAAGAAGTTTTAATAATGACTTCGAAACTTTTTATTACTTCTGAAATAGTAAACGTGTATTGTCTATTGATTTAACAAAAATGAAAATGGAAGTGTAAAAATGTTTTTGTATATTCCTCAGCTATGATTGTGAGTGTTATGTATATGTAAATAAACAGTGCTTGTGAGAAATAAACTGACTACTTATTGTAAAATGAAAATTCTGCTCAAACCGAATAGAATCGACATCGAATGATGACAGCGAAAATCGAGAGGTGACAGCGATTCATAAATTTTGTTCTAAATTTGATTATTTCTTGAAAACTCAAAGCAAAGTCTTCTTGTGTTTTCATTCTGTCCATAAAATAAGGAATAGGCTAAATCTTTTCGGTTGACGAGTTATTTACATCGTTCCTATTTTCTAACTCTCCTACAACAGTTTAGACAAGTTAATATTATTACATAAGTTTTTTTTTGGAAACTTAGTTTTATATCTGTTAACAAACAAACAAACAAACGAAACTATAAAATCGAGAGAAGCAGTAACAACAGTCCAATAGTCGTAAACTAATGTGACTTGGAATACTACTTGCCGCTATTGTGATGAAAATCAAAATAATAATATTTTGGGACATCTGACACACATCGCCATCTAGTTTCAAACTAAGCAGAGCTTGTACTATGAAAAACTAGATAGACTGATAGAAAACTTATATACCTTTTTTCTAAATACATAGAAAACACCCAAACTCCCAAACAAATATTTGCAGATCATACAAACATTTGGTCCGACCCGGGAATCGACCCCCAGACCTCAGCACATCAGTCGCATACGCTACCACTGCACCATAGAGGCAGGCAGTCAAAAATGTTTATCTCCTTAATTCAATTAGAAGTTGAATTAAGTTAGTGTAACAATATTGGTAAATACTGATAGCCCGCCACAATTCCGCCAGGTTGTACAATATTTTTTAAGGATATGATTTACATAATAATTGCATACAAAATTAAAAATTATTTTACTGATAGTTCAGAGTGAGTGGAGTGCTGGATCTAGGTATATCTAGCATTACAAAATATCAATGCAATTATTAATTAACAAGCCTCAAGAAACTCATCATCATCATCATCATCATCAGCCTATCGCAGTCCACTGCTGGACATAGGCCTCTCCCATTGCACGCCACTTAGATCGATTTTGGGCTTCTCGCATCCAGCTCCTGCCAGCCATCTTGCGCAAATCGTCACTCCACCTGGCCTGTTAAACTCAATCAGCCTTTTTTCATAATTACAGTTGCATTACAATCAAGGTTAAAAAACAATCAAATGAGTCCTTTGATTGTTTTTTAACCAGAACGAGCAATTTATGTCACTGCCATATTTGTGTTACCATAGCCCATAATTTCAAAATAAAATAATAATATTTTATGTCAGGAATATAATCTATAGAAACTATCATCGGTTAATTACGTTTCTGTGAACGCCCTTTTGGTCTAGCAGTTAGTGATTATATCTGCTGAACAGGAAGCCTTGTTGTTGAACATGTTCTATGTTTCACATCATCAGCTTATCGCAGTCCACTGCTGGACATAAGCCTCTCCTTAGAAAGGAGGTTTTGGCCTACTATACCACGGTGGCTAGACGGGTTGGTATAGGGTTTGTGTCAAGTTTTCCTTCTCTCTGCAATGCTGTTGTTCTGCGTAGTTTTTTTCCCTTAGTCGGCTCTTACGACACCCACGGGACGAATAGGGGTGGTGACCCTCTGTATTCTTAATACGTCACCACGCGGATACAAGACAAAAAATAATATTCAACTAAAGTGTGTCCTTAATATTTGTTCTATGTTTGATGTAAATTATATAAAAAAGGAGCCGTCAAAAAAATGAGGGACTTCTATCTGATATGAATCAAGGAAATTATTTTGTAGAAATAATGAGTATGAGTCATGTTACGTTAAAAATATGATTAAATAAAATACCTACTTTTATTCCTGCGCATGGTAACGTTTCGCTACTATCCGCTCCTTAACGACCCCACTACTTCCTTTTTTCTCTATTTACTAGAATAACAATGGATGATCTAAATGCGATGGCCAATCGAATAGAATTACGAACGTCGAACATGGTGAGCGTGGAACCGGTGTGCGTCGACTTTAAGAAGAAGATTATAGAATGTTATAATGAAAACGAACCTGTATCTGAAACTGTCAAATGTTGGGATGCTGTGGGTAAGTGTTAGGACTTTATGAAAATATATATAAAAGACACGATACATAATATTTTAAAATGTATCTGTAGTAGGTTATTTTCTTTGAACAGTGACTGCACAGGACTGCGTAGGGGTTTAAGCCATCACCTCGCCGCTTTTTACTGCGCTGAGTGTTGTGGGTTCGATCCCCGCATTGAACAACACTTCGTGTGATCCACAAATTGTTGTTCCAAGTCTGGGTGTTCTTTGTGTCCGTTTATGTTTGTAAAGAATATACGGGGCAGACACAGGAATATAATCTTAATGCGGGAGTTGTCTTTTTTAGTTATAAGAAAAAAAAGTATGAAAACTAGAATCATGTTGGTTCCAAAATGTCAACATGTATTCACTATAGCTTTACTCTGGTTTCAGTATGTATTCACTATGAATACAATATGGTTTCAATATGTAATCACTCGAGAAACACTCTGTTTTTAACATGTATTCACGATGGTTTCAACATATATCCATTTTGGTATAAGAATGTATCCACTTTGATTAAAGACTGGAAACGCGGTGGGCAAATGTAACAAACTAACTGTAAAAACGAAGGTCGCGAGGGTATTTTGTCAAATTTTGATGCAAATATTTTATTTACAATGTGGCGACTTCCACATACGGAGAAACGAAGAAACATCCTACAGCGCCATCTAACGAAGACACACCGAACTACGGTGTAACTACAAATTTTGTATTGCGCATTGAAAGTTTTCGCATCGATTAGTTACCATTTTTTTTTTTTTTTTTAACGTGTGGAAATCCCCTCGGACCGTCACCCCTCCGGGGTTTGCGGCGGGGTGGTGTGTCGGACTCGGACCGACTAAAACCACACGGTGTGCCACTCTGCGCCTGTAACAGGAGGGATCCGGGAACAGCTGTTGTTAAGACATCCGGACCCCTCCTAGCGCCAGCCCGCTCCTGGTGCGGGCTCCGTCTCAATGTAGATGTTCCTCTCTTTAGGCGACGTCCGGCACACGCGGACGCCGCCCCCTCGCGGCTGGCCAACTAATGCGGGTGGAGGGGAAACCCACCCCGTCCACCCGCGGCCACACTCAGGGCGGCATGAGGCTGTGGTAGGCGGGCCTCCGCCGCCCGGTTCGCCGGCGGCGGATCGGGTCCGAGTGGAGGTCGTCCTCCCGGGCCCTCTCCGCCGCCTCCTTCCGCGAGATTACTACCTCGCAGAAGGTTGCGACCGCGGTAAAACAACTGTCGCTACCGGCCATGGAGCGTACTACGGCCGGTAGCGAGAGATCCACTCCGATGACTGCAGTGAGGGCCCGGCGCTGCGCCGCCCATGCGGGGCAGACCGCCAGCGTGTGCTGGGCCGAGTCCTCACTGCAGTCGCAGTGGTGGCAGGCGGGACTCAGTTCCCTCCTAGCGACCGTGTGCAGGTACTTTCCGAAGCAACCGTGCCCGGAAAGCACCTGCGTCAGCCGGAAGGAAAGGGTCCCGTGCTGCCGCCCTGCCCACTCGGCGATGACCGGCTGGAGAGCCTCCACGGCGGCAAAGCCAGCGCGTGGAGTCTCCAGCCGGAACGACCAACGAGCCATCGTGGCTCGGCGAGCGGCTTCGCGCCACTCGCGCACATCCTCGGGCGGAGGGCGAAATCCGCTCTCCGCCCGGAAGTCAGCCACTCGCCGATAAACTTCGGCGAGCACTTCCGCCTCCAAATCCCACGGGGGAGTTCCGGCCAATGCGCATGCCACCTCCGTCGAAACGGTGCGGTAACCGCGTATGGCTCTGACCGCCATTACCCTCTGAGGGCGCCAGAGGCGTACCCTATCCTGGGCGGTCAGAGCCGCCGCCCACACCGGTGCACCGTACAGTGCCATTGACCGGACAACCCCCGTGTACAGCCGTCTTGTCGCGACGCTGGGTCCACCCATATTGGGCAAGAGTCGCCCTAGGGCAGACGCAGCGCCGACCAGCTTTGGAGCAAGCTGTCGGAAGTGCTCGTCGAAGAGCCACCTCCCGTCGAGGATCAGGCCCAGATATTTCATCTGGGCCCGAACCGGTACGAGGACCGAGTTGACCACGATGGAGGCGCCAGGGGGTGGACCACGACGGGGCCCATGGAATAACAGGGCCTCCGTCTTATCTAGGGCCACCCGTAAGCCCAGCGCCTCAATGCGCCCGACCACCAGGGAGACTCCCCCTGTGGCCAGGCGCGCCGCCTCTTGGAAGTTTGCCCCCCGGGATGTCACGAGGGTATCGTCTGCGTAACAGATTACACCCAGCCCGGGGGGGAAATCGGCGCGAAGGGCCCAGTCGTACCCTATGTTCCACAAGAGGGGTCCAAGAACAGACCCCTGTGGAACACCGCACGACATGGGCCGACACCTCAGATTACCTTCTCGGTCCTCGTACACGACGGTACGCTCCTCTAAATAGTCTGCCACCAGCCGCCTCAGGTACTTTGGCACCCCATGATAGTGGAGTGCTTCCCTGATGCAGCTGAATGGCAGACTATTGAATGCGTTGGCGATGTCCAGTGACACCGCCAACAGCACGCCGCCACAGCTCACGGCCTCTTCGGTCACGGCCCTCAGGCGCAACACGGCGTCGACCGTCGAACGCCCCGCCCGAAAACCAAATTGGGCGTCCGACAGATCGGGGCCCACCTCGCAGAGGTGCCGGACGATGCGGGCAGAAAGAACCCTCTCAAACAATTTGCCCGCCTCGTCCAGCAGCACGATGGGCCTATAGGCCGCGACCGAATCGGCAGGCCGTCCCGGCTTCCTCAATAGGACCAGCTTCCCGCTCTTCCAGCACTCAGGGAAGCGTCCCGACGCCAAGCTAGCGTCGAACACCTCCCCGAGGCGGTCTGCCATGTGGTTGAGGGCCAGGGCCAGCACTCGGGCCGGTACCCCGTCTGGCCCAGGGGCGGTGTTCTTGGAACGGATCCGTAGAACAGCCGCCCCTACCTCCGATTCCCGGACGGGCGGAACATTATCCTCCCCGTGCTCCCCGTCGTCTCCGGCCAAGGAGGCCATCGACGGGGGAGTGTGTTCCGCCCGTTGTGGGAAAAGGCCCTCAACCACTTCTCGCAGGAAGCTGGGCTGGAGAGTCTCCGTAAGGGGGGGGCCCGACGCGCGGAGCTTTTATCGCACCGCGCGGTAAGGGCGACCCCAGGGGTCACGATTAAGACCCTCCAGCATCTCCTGTCTTTTTTCTTCTTTGGCGCGGCTAATGGCCAGCTTCAGAGTTTTCCGCGCCCGTCGGTACTCCTCATGAAGCCGGTCCTCCTCACCGTCTCCACGGTGACGCCGCCGACTGCGCGTGTAGGACCTCCGGGCACGTGTACAGGCCGCACGGAGGTCCGCCAGCCCCTGGGACCACCAGTAGACCTCCTTCCTTGGAGGCCGACGACCTCGAACGCGGGGCATGGCCGCATCGCATACATGCGTAATCGCATCGCGAAAGCGGCCAGCCCCCACGTCGACCTCCTCGGTCGGAGCCTGAGGAGACAGCCACGAGTGAATTATGGCTGCCTCCTCTAGTAGGTCCCGGTTCAGCCTGGCAACAGCCCACAGCGGAAAGCGGGATAAATGCCGCGCCACGTACTGGAGTCCTGGGTCCGGGAGAGCTCAAATCGGATATACAGGTGATCCGAGAGCGTCTCAACCTCTTCCAGGACACGCCAGTTCCTTACTCGTGCGGCGAGGGCAGGGGTAGCGAACGAGAGGTCCACTATCGACCCCCCCTGCTGTCGCACGCACGTGTTGGTGGAGCCTCTGTTTAGAAGACAGAGGCCCACCGAGGCCGCCCACTCCTCTACGGCCTCGCCCCTGGCGTCCGTCCTGGGGGAACCCCACGCAATGGACTTTGCGTTGAAGTCCCCCAGCACAAGGACGTGCCCAGACGCTAGTCGCCGTATCGAGGTCTCCAAGCTGGTCAGGAAAACCTCGAAGTCGTTCAAACTCCGGTTGGGGGAGAAATAGACACCATATATGGTGATCCCCCCCCACTCGACGGCAACATATCCAGTGCCCTTGTCTCTTAGCGACAAGGGCGGGGAATGAGCCGTCGTGGAACCGACGACTGCCACGGAGCCGTCCCAGTCACCCATCCAGTTTGGACGGGGAGGGACAGAATAGGGCTCCGCGACTACGGCAACACCTATCGACCACTGTGCCATGGTTTGCAGGAAGAGATCCTGCGCCGCGGCACAGTGGTTCAGGTTCGTCTGGACCAGGAGGTTGGAGACTTGATCCATTACTGGATCGTCTCTACAACCTCCTCCATGGGCGACGACGTCGACGCACGAACTATATCGGAGGCAGCCTGGGTCGACTGGCTAACCCCCGACGTCTGCCGAGAACTGCGGGGAGGCTTGCAGCCTCTCTGCCCCATCTGGTGATTGGCGGGCTTACAGTGAGGGGCGGCAGAGCATTCTGCCGCCTTATGCCCCGGTTGACCGCAGCGGAAACACATTCCGCCGCAGTCAAAACAGCTGTCGCACTTGACGCGCGTGTGTCCCGATGCTAGGCATTTGTAGCACCTCATCGGTCTCGCCGCCAGGACTGTGATCCTGGCGCTCACGAAACCGACGAGCAGCCTGCCGGCGTCGGCCAATACTTTGGCCGACGCTACGGGACAGCTGACCCACACGGCGCCAAGCCCTCCTGGACCGGGGCGGATGGTGCCGACCCTGACGTTGTCCGCGCTGCACCCCGTCTTCTCCCGGATTACAGCGCGGACATCTTCGGCCGTCACTGAGTCGTCCAGGCCCGAGATGCGCAGTTCCGCGCACTTGGTAGGCCTGGCGACCCTGACGTGTGCGTTACCCCAGCAAAATAATGTCGAAAATGGTCATTTAAACGTTATAGATAATTAGTTGCTCCCCTTCTGTAATTGTTAAGCACATTTTTAAATTTGTTTCACTTAAACTTTTTTAGTTATTTCAAAAAAACATTTCCTGCTGGGGTAACGTTTGAAACGTTACCACAGCCAGACATTTTCTTTTTTAATTGTAATATTGAAATAAATTTTAGCTAAATAATTAGTTATCTGGACTAGGTAAATGTTACAACTTATTTGGTATTTGTATTTTCTTCGGCTGCGAAGTTATTCGAAATCCTGCTGGAGTAACGTTTGTGGGTTTGCTGGATCTCTGAAACGGGTAAGCGGATTGTTACTATCTTTTGTACATAACTTCTTAAGGATTAGTTTTAATTTGTTCGACAATAAAATGACAAAAATAATGGACCGTTTAAAAACTATTTAGGTAAGTATGAAAACACTTAAATACGTCCTAACACTTTAAATAAGACCTCTTAAGACTTACTTGAAACGTTATTCTATTGCTTGTAACTACCTTCAAATGTATACGAATTTTCGTAGGAATACTGTAAGTGACTAAAAAGTTATGATGAAATGTAGCTCTCCACGTTCACGATCAAAATGTATGCGGCCTTTTTTGGCCACCGATAAACCTGTGTGTGGATATATAAACTGAATGTTATGCCAATAATTAGTTGTTTAGTTCAGTTGTCTACCTGTAGAATTTCAGCGTCGTACATATAATAATTTACGAAATAATTAAATAAAAGTCATTAGAAGTTGCAAGTCCGTGGTAATCCGACCATGTTTAGGTGGTTACAATAAAGCGATCACCCAGTACATTGCGCTGTCTTTTAAAATGTTTAGTGTAATACACCTTACGATTTCGGTACAGTTGCGTACAGTGTTAAATACATTCAATATTTATTCATTATTATTACCTATTATTTATTTTGTTTTTTTCCCTAATTGATCTTACGCACTAGTTTCTTTACTTAAAATTAATTTAGTCTTTTTTACTACCGGAGCTACAATCAACAGAAAATCTGCACTGGTCCGCTAAAATTATAAATATGTAGATACATGTATGAACGATTCACCTGACTGCAATAAAACTAAAATTTAAACCAATAAGAAATCGTTTCATTTCTTTGATTTTTTTTTTGTAAAGAAATAACACTAAAGTAATTGTATTTTATTTTGGGGTGTATAGAGCTTAGACTTGAATGCATCAAAATATTTAAAGCAACAAGTTATCTACAATAAGTTAAAATAGACCGAATAGTAGAAGAATACAGTTGTAAATTAGAATGCATCAACATTGCATCGCCCAACAGACGTATACCTCGTAAGAGTAGGTAATATTGTTCTGTGGTCTATACCTAGAACCGAGAATTATCTATACCTATGTACCTACCGTTAAGCGTTGAGCCCGTTACTGTTGGTTTCTGTTAAAAACGAACAGTTGTTGAATGATATTTTGATATAATAACGGTAATTTAATTTATCGAGTGAAAGTGATACATTTTTATAGATAAAATTATTGGTCAGATAATATTTGTCAATCAAGAATCGCTGATAATACATCCTTCGCTAGAACGCGGGAGGGGAGGGGCGAAGGGATACTTCATTGTTTGCAATTTGCATCTAGTGCACTAAACTTGACCCTTAGGCAGATAATATACGTGTTGTAAAGTACGTGTGCGCTTCCGCTTTCTATTTTTGCAAATATTTATCGTATTCTTGAGAGTTCTTCAATATGTGTGTACCTAATTACTAATAATAGGCATTAATGCTAATTCGATTCAATTTAAGTAATTGTCAATTCTTGTCTTAGGATATTAATTACTAATGCTAATATTGAAATTTCGTTCAGGGTGAACAAATTAAAAACGATCATAGGTACGACCATCTTTTAGGTAGACAACGATCATCTTTTAGGTAGGTATATCACTTATTACTAATTTTACATAAATAATTTATTTTATTATAATTTAACTCACCGCGATTTTTGATCAAATATTTTATTTTCTCCAACATTATTACAGAAATAATGCAATACAGAGTTTGTTCGCGATATGCTAGCCTAAGTCGATTCATCACTTAAAAAAATCCCCATCTATTCACAAAATACCTATTTACAACGCATACGTTACACTCTTCAAAACTTATCATTTCATTTCATATTTCTTAAATTACCTATACCTACCCTAAAATTAAACTTCAATTAACAAATACTACGCAGGTACCAATTCTATGAACAACTATAAACAATTCACCTAAACATTACGAGAAAACAAAAGCATTCAAAATAATACCTAATCTCCCGGCTGATTACTAATTATGCAATAAACAATCCTAAATAAAAAATATTTAAAAAACATGTAGGTTTTTGTAACACTTATGTACATATCCGTAGTAAACTTGCAAATAATATCCGACATATTCTAAAAGCCAGCACAATGTACTGGCTGATCGCTTTTTTGTAACCACCTAAACATGGTCGGGTTACCACGGTCTTGCACCTTCTAATGACTTTTATTTAATTATCTCGTAAATTATTATATGTACTACGCTGAAATTTTACAGGTAGACAACTGAACTAAACAACTAATTATTGGCATAACATTCAGTTTATATATCCACACACAGGTTTATCGGTGGCCAAAAAAGGCCGCACACATTGTGATCGTGAACGTGGAGAGCTACATTTCATCATAACTTTTTAGTCAGTTACAGTATTCTTACGAAAATTCGTATACATTTGAAGGTAGTTACAAGCAATAGAATAACGTTTTAAGTAAGTCTTTAGAGGTCTTATTTAAAGTGTTAGGACGTATTTAAGTGTTTTCATACTTACCTAAATAGTTTTTAAACGGTCCATTATTTTTGTTATTTTATTGTCGAACAAATTAAAACTAATCCTTAAGAAGTTATGTACAAAAGATGGTTACAATCCGCTTACCCGTTTCAGAGATCCAGCAAACCCACAAACGTTACTCCAGCAGGATTTCGAATAACTTCGCAACCGAAGAAAATACAAATACCAAATAAGTTGTAACATTTACCTAGTCCAGATAACTAATTATTTAGCTAAAATTTATTTCAATATTACAATTAAAAAAGAAAATGTCTGGCTGCGGTAACGTTTCAAACGTTACTCCAGCAGGAAATGTTTTTTTGAAATAACTAAAAAAGTTTAAGTGAAACAAATTTAAAAATGTGCTTAACAATTACAGAAGGGGAGCAACTAATTATCTATAAAGTTTAAATGACCATTTTCGACATTATTTTGCTGGGGTAACGCACACGACCCTGACACCATCTGTGGCTGCAAATATTCCCCGCAGCTTCTCTGCGAAGGAGTCCGCCGTCTTTGCGCCTTCAGCCCCAGGGAACTCGAGAACTCGAGCTCCCGTCTGGGCGAGGCGCATCCTGACCCCCACCGTCCCAAACTCGTTGGCGAGGCTGTCCCGGGCCTTTTTGAAGACGGCCGCATAGGACAGCCCGCCGTCAGCCGCCTCCCGGGACACGGTCACAACTACAGCCGCGGTTTTGGGCGGCTGCAGCTTCCGCGGCCTCTTTGCAGAGGCCGTTGCCACCGGTGGCGAAGGCTGGGCTTGGGCTGCTTTTTAGGCAGCCTTTCTGGCCCGCCTTCGGGACTTCTTGGAGCCCCTCGCCTCATCGATTAGTTACCAACATCAACCATTGAGCCGCGGCCCGCTGAGCATGATCACCGCGTCTTCTCGAATGACATCCCTTGTGATGGAGGGATTTAACACCCAATCCTCGATAAGTATTCTAGGTGTGAAAACGAAACTCGGTTTCGCATTCATAATAATAGCTAATATTAGGGTGAGCCAACCATTATACTAAACAGCTCTGGAAAAGTTTAGATCCTGAATTTGTATCGGATATAAGTAGTGATAAGGAGTCTTAAAGCTCCTTGCAACGGTTCCCAGGTGACTTCACAAAGTGCGTGTCGGAGGCGGCGGGCACGCGGCTGCGCGCGCGCACGCAGCGCGAGGCGCGGGAGCACGCGCGCCGCACGCGCCACGTGGCGCACGCCCGCGAGCACGCGCTCAAGGACCTCGGCCCGACCTCAGTGCTGGACTAAGTAGCTCTGTGCTGCTCTAACGCGTTGTCGACCACCCAAATGTTGGACGCGAATCAATATATTTTTTGAGGTCGAAAGATTGAGATTTTATGTGACATAAGAATAACATTTTTAATGATACCGGCAGGTGATCTTTGATTGTATTAAACTTGAAACGATGTAAAATATATATACATATACTTTGCCGTTTTTCATTCTTCATTCATTCTCTAATAAATTACATAATCTGGAAGTTTAAAACGGAACATCCGATGGAATCATCATCATTTCAATAGTAATCCGCTTCTAGGCATTGTAATTTATATTTTTATCCTTATAATATGTAAATAAGTAAAACAATTTCGCTCTAATATTAACTTGATATTTATTCAATTAAAGGAAACTTTCTTTTTAACATCATCGGGGTTGGGTTTGCTTTTGAGTTGTAGGGGTATGGTGGTGGCGCCGTCGTCGCCGTGGTCCGTGGGGTCCCGCGCGTGCGGCGGGGAGTCCCCGCGCGCGGCGGCTCTCGCCAGCTTGCGTCGCAGCGCGCGCACGTGCGCGGCGGCCGCCAGCTGCGCCGCGCCGCGCGACACCACCTCGGCGCGGAGCTGCGCGCACTCCGTCCTGAGCGACACGATACACACCAAATTTACTACCATCGTACACTCGAGCCTACATCCATGAACAGCTAAACAGAAGCGTATTGAACACCCACATTTTACTAATTATAATTTTTAACACACTTCTACTTTATAAGAAGGAAACGTTAGCAGAAAAATAATAATAGGATATATGTGAAGTACCCAATTTTTTAACGTATTAAGCTCGTCTGTAATAGATCACCGTGAACGATAAGACCGCCGATGATTATGTCTACATAATTGTAAGTGATCCTTATTTAATAATAATAATAAATTGTTTATTTTCTCGCCACAATACATTTATACATAATTTTAGAAGAATTATTACAAAATTTTATACTGTGGGAGACTGGTGCCTAAGCTAGGCTCAGAGCCTGTGTTTCAGGACACCAGGGTCCCCTCCTTAATTGTATACAAATCTGTTAGTATCATCGCTTTGACAATTAGTTGTGGTCGAACTAGCGTGAGTGCGTGCATGCGTGCGTGCGTGCGTGCGCGTGCACGTATGCGTGTGCGTGTGTGTGTGTGTGTGTGTGTGTGCTTATAATAGTGAGTGTAGGATCGTGATGTACCTATGTTTATGCTAAGACAGCAAGCATCTTTTCAGTGTCGTCGTAACTTAGATCTGAGAGCCAAGCAATTAATTTCATCTTACATTTTATTTTTTTCATTTTACAAATTGACAAGATTTTATTAATTTTGTCGTATAAGTATGGTCCTAAGTAACAAAAGTAGCGTTTTGAATACACGGTGTTAAGCCGGACTTTACTTATATGTACGGGATTGTATCGCCTTTTGCCACGGGAAAGAGAAGAATCATATTCCAGTTTACTGTGCTGCATTAGGATTATCTGCTTAATAAACAACTGTCTTACCGTTAGAACTTTAGCTTTTTTGTATAACAGAGAAGTAGGATATTTGAACGGTAGGGACAAAGAAACCTTTAGTACGGCCCTTTGGGCTCTTTCTAGCTCTAGAAATGTGCTCCTTGGAGCACCACCCCAGTTGTGATGCAGTACGTCAGAAGCGATTGAGCAAGGGCAAAATAAACTGATCGCCTTAACTTATCATCCAGCCACTTGCCTTAGGTTCTTGAAGAGATTAGTTTGCGCATCCTGCCACTGAGGGTAGATATATGCTCATGGAAACGAAGGCGACTGTCCATTATTACTCCAAGATATTTCACCGCATCGGCTTTCTGAAGGTGTACGCAAGAGCACGTAACATTGTGAGGACTAGGACACGAATGGGCTATGATCGAGTATGGCATTGGTAAGTTCGGTGCGGAGAAAGTGACATATTGTGTTTTAGTCGCATTTAGGGTAAGTATATTATTTCGCAACCAATCGCTTACAAGATTAAACCCAGATTGCGCGTGTTTATAGGCGTCACTCCATGTGTCAGCATTGAATAGGAGGGCAGTGTCATCTGCGAAAGTAATTACTTTACCATTTGGTAAAGTAAACAGACCCAGGTCGTTTATGTAGATTAGGAAGAGGGTCGGGCCAATCACGCTACCTTGAGCCACTCCGTATGTGACTATCCGCTCCTCACTGATGAACTCATCAACCCTAACGCACTGGGTTCGCTCACTAAGGTAGTCCTCGAACAGCCTAAGTGGAGTACCTCTAATTCCAAGGCGTTCCATTTTCTCTATGAGTATGGGGACAGAAACCGTGTCAAAAGCTTTGGCGAGATCTAGGCAGATACCTATGACCTTTTGGCCTCTATCTAGGTTGGTTATAATATAATTTGTGTGGTCATGAACCGCATGGTCATATTTGTGTTAACTGTATACAATAAAGATATAAATAGGAAACATGTAACTCAAACAAGATATTACCAGTAGTCCAAGCATTCTAACACATTTAATATCTATTTGCAACAAACTTATAAAAACACGTGCATACATGAACTTGTAATTACTCAAACGTCAAACACAGCAACCAATATATAAAATATCTAAAATCCAACACTAAGCATATCTATTTATAACTATATAATTATCAAACAAGTAAAATCAACAACCGTGGCTCCCACTACAAGTCAACTATTCATGACACCCAAACCAGCTTGCAAGTGAGCTCACCATTCCCGAGACAACACGTCGACTAAAAAAGCCACTTATTTGATGAGTATAGTGGCTGACTGACTTACGATCCAAGGACACACACACACACACACAAACACACGCACACGCACACACACGCACACACACGCACACACACATACACACAAAATAAAGGGTGGACCCCACTGGGAGTTTTTTAACACCCAAAAAAACTTCCTGCCTACACCACATCTGTTCATGGTCCAGAAGACTAATTGCAGGATAACAATAGAAGAAAAAAATACAAGTAAAATAATAACACAATAAAAATATTTTACTTGTAAATTGAAACACTTTGATAAAAATTTGCTAAGTCATGCTTGAATAAATAATTTGTAGAATGACCAAAGCAAATGTTATAATTTAATATTTTAAATATTATTTTTATCCAAAACCTTCATTATTTCATATCTAAGTATTCACTTCTGAGGAACCCATTACTTGGACACCCTACTTTGTACTACAAATATCCTACTTAAAAACAATCAAAGGACTATCTGTAATTTTGTTGTAATAGCGAAAAAAAGTGTGACTCAGAAGATCGTTTTCGTATATAAGCAAAACATGCAGCAGGATTTAGGCAAATCGGCACATAAATTGAGGCGACTGCGATGCCTGGGCAAATCTAAGTTCGCCCAAATTATATTGTTAATTTACACGTGCACTCTGCAATTACTAACCGACAAAAACATAATGGAAGTCAACCATAAGGCCATGCTTTATTATTCTTAATCTATTTATGTCTATAGAGAAGTGTGTAACAGGCAGCAATGTGAAACAACTTACTTCAAGTGATCCAGTACTCCAGGCAGCCAGCCGTTAGCGGTGGGCTCACACAGCTTGCCAAACCACCGCGCCAGCTCCCGCCGCTGTTTCTCACAAACACCTTCTAACTGAGTTATGCGCTCTTCATAGCTTTCTGAAATTTTAACATGAGGTTTTAGTATATTTGAATAAGTTTCAATATTGAAAAGAGTGCTCGTGAGTTTGTTTGCCTTGTCCTCACATAAGTACATAATCTACAACCGCCCCTTGGAAACGGGCGTTTGTAGATCGCCACAGATATATTAGATATTCAAAACGTTTACATTTATTTTGCTAAATATTTGACATATGGTCTGCAACTGTGGGGCAGTGCAAGCGATACCAACTTAAATATACTCCAACGCCAACAGAACAAGATTCTATGATCAATTGCGAATCAATTGCATAACCAATAATGAAGTTCACGAGCACCAGGAAATAAAAACAATCAAGGAGGAAATTCGGAGTTTGGCAGCTAAATACAAAGAGCGATTAACCCGTCACCCTAACGTACTCGCTCGCCAACTCACCATGGACGAGTATACGAGACGACTAAAACGTCACCATATCCTAGAGCTAGATGGCCGGCAGTAGCTCTGGGCAGCAGATGAGTAGATGCTTTCAACTGTTGTGTAAAAATGTTAATATTTAAAAAAAATATGCTCCTGCGTACAGTAAGTCGTGTCGCCAAGTAGCGTTAAAACAATATGCTAACATTTCAGATAAGGCTACGGTGCTAAAGGCGACTCGGCTGCGAATCCTATAGGAAGGGAGATGGAACATACGATGTGGTTATCTTATATATAAAATTCTCGTGTCACGGTGTGCGTGGTTGAACTCCTCCGAAACGGCTCGACCGATTTTCGTGAAATTTTGTGGTCTGAGAATCGGCCAACCTCTATTTTTCATACACCTATTTTTTTTTTACATTTTTTTTTAAATAATGTATACGACAAAACAACGTTTGCCGGGTCAGCTAGTCTTATATATAAAATTCTCGTGTCACAATGTTAGTTACCATACTCCTCCGAAACGGCTGCACCGATCTTTATGAAATTTTGTGTGCACATCGGGTAGGTCTGAGAATCGGCCAACATCTATTTTTCATACCCCTAATGACCTAGAAATAATGTATATGGCAAAACAACGTTTGCCGGGTCAGCTAGTATTCTATAAACTTAATAAAAAACAGACGATGGATATTATCGTGACAACCAGAAGTCAGTTTCGATATTAAATTTTGGTAGCTAAGTTAGTATGTTATGTCTAGCAGAAGTACTTAGTTGATTCCTAGATAAATCTAGCTATCTATAATAGACTGCTCACCAATAAGTTCTCGGTCATAGTGTGATGCTGCACCTGCCTGTTGTTCCCAGATGGTGTGCTTCTCATGCAGTAAAGAATCAACTTCAGCTTGTTTGTTTGCTAGCTCTCGTCTTAACTGGAAATTTGGAAATATTAATTACTTTTTACTCAACTTTGAAGGAAGGTTGTTAGTGTATATTTCTTAAGTATGCTCTGTACTTAAACAGCAAATCAAATCAAATCAAATCAAATTGTTTATTTGCGTATTACAGGTTATACAAAGATCTTATATACTAGTTTTGGCCTCTGTATACTACCCTTTCAGGTGTGCAAATATTTCATACAAATTAATTACTCTAAACAAAACAAATATGTATTGAATTGTCATATATTAATAAATAAAAAATAAAAACTCTTAATCCTAAATTATATCAGTACCCAAAATCGCAGAATTTTTAAATTATGTCAAATCAATAATCCAGTATTATCTAAAGAAATGTACATATATATATCCATTTTCAGTGAATCAGTAACAAATACTATAGCAAATGTCATTAAATAATGTCTAAGAGGAAGTCATTTACGCTGTAGTACGTTTTTTCAATCAGAAACGCTTTTAGATCACGTTTAAATTTACATAGGTCACATATTTGACGAATATTTTTTGGGAGCTTGTTAAATATTCTAGGAGCCATACCGAGGATATTTTTATTAAAAAGCGCACTTGTGTGGGGCGTTGCGTGGATTCTATCACGTTGTCTTTGGCTTTTTAGGGATTGAAAATATTCTGGATGCAATTTAACAAAAACTGCCAACTCAAAAATGTACAGTGACGGAAAAGTCAAAATCTTCAGTTCCTTGAAGCGAGGTCTGCAACTGTCCGGCAACCTTAAACCACATACGGCTCTAACGCATTGTTTTTGTGCTCGAAACGCATCGTCTCTCTTAACTGAGTTTCCCCAAAAAATGATTCCGTACCGTAGTGTAGCCGTGACGACCTGTAAACTCGCTGCTTTAGAGAGCATATATAATGCGTACGAGAAGGAATTTAATTTTTTACATATTTCCTCTATTTGTGTTTTCCATGACAAATCTTTATCAATCCATAATCCTAAAAATTTTTGATTAGTTACCTCTGCTATGTTAAGCCCAGCATAATTTATGTTTATGTCAAAAGTCTATGTCCGTTGTTTGTAATGCATTATTTAGTCGGCTCTTACGACATCCACAGGATGAACAGGAGTGGTGACACTCTGTATTCTTAATCCGTCACCACACTGTCACACCAGGTGTCGTGAGATTCGTCTTAATAGTGAGAGTGTCATTAGGGTATAATAATTCAAATCGCTAGCGTGTAAATTTTACCTAAGTACCTTTACATTTTCATGTATGGTTTTTTTCATTAATTAGCTTGTTATCATAGTACCTAAAACTGCAGCTATACAGAATAGAATTAATAAAACCTTGACTGCTTTATTAATTACTAGTTGACCCGCGCAACTTCGTCTGCGTCTCTCAATAGTAATAAATTTTCTCCGTTTTTTAAACATTCTTCATTGGTGCTCCGCTCCTATTGGTCTTAGCGTGATGATATATAGCCTATAGCCTTCCTCGATAAAAGGGCTATCTAACACTGAAAGAATTTTTCAAATCGGACCAGTAGCTCCTGAGATTAGCGCGTTCAAACAAACAAACAAACAAACAAACAAACAAACTCTTCAGCTTTATAATATTAGTATAGATATTCTGATGGATGGCGTAGTGGTTAAAGCCGTCGCCACGCCGCTTACTACTGCGCTGAGTGTTGTCGTTCCGATACTCACATGGGACAACAATTTGTGTGATCCACTAATTGTTGTGTGAGTCTGGGTGTTCTTTGTGTCCGTTTTATGTATGTTTGTATAGTCCCCTGCGACACAGGAATATATTCCTCATGTGGGAGGTGTCTTTTTTAACAAAAATTGTAATCATATATACATTAGCTAACCTGTCACTATGTTTATTACAAACGCAACAAAAATTATCAAGATTGTACTGTCTAGGATTTTTTAGTAGGAATTTTATGTTATACTAGCTGACCCGCGCAACTTCGTCTGCGTCTCTCAATAGTAATAAATTTTCTCCGTTTTCGAAACATTCTTCATTGGTGCTCCGCTCCTTTTGGTCTTAGCGTGATGATATATAGCCCATAGCCTTCCTCGATAAATGGGCTATCTAACACTGAAAGAATTTTTCAAATCGGAACAGTAGTTCCTGAGATTAGCGCGTTCAAACAAACAAACAAACTCTTCAGCTTTATAATATTAGTAAAGATTTCTACAAGGACTTGCGACTGCACGGATGGCGTAGTGGTTTAAGTGGTCGCCACGCCGCTTACTACTACGCTGAGTGTTGTGGGTCCGATCCCCACATGGGACGACACTTTGTGTGATCCACAAATTGTTGTTCTGAGTCTGGGTGTTCTTTGTTTCATGTTCATGTATGTTTGTAAAGTCCCCGCGACACAGGATATGATCCTAATGCGGGAGTCCTCTTTAAAAAATTATATCTATTTATTGGAAAAAGACACATAAAACTTTCTGGAGTCTAGGCATTAATGCACTAAAGATGTCTTAAAATTTTTAACAAGGGTTTTACACCCTAATAAATAAATATTAAAAGAGAACAATAGTCAAGACCTCATTTACATTGACAAACAAGCATGTAGATTCGGGTCAAGAGTCACGAGTGTGTTGCCAGACGTCAATGTCTGCTGTGGAGATGTCATTAAATCAACCTCTATGTGTGCTACTGCTAAGTAACTTTACGAGATCTGTGCTACTGCTAAGTAACTTTTATTAAATTTATTAAAACCAGTTACACTTACTCTAGAATTTGTTTGTTTCATTTGTATGAGATTTTTAGCCATCTCTTGTCTTTTGTCCTCCACCTCTGCAAATATAGAGTTGCCCTTTGTGGCTGCAAACAAAAAACTCTTTACCATATTTTACTAAGGTCAAAATGCTGCTTATTCATAAATTTTCATTTCTGCACAGGGAATATTTCATCTGACTATTAAAGGAGTTTGGCAGTTCATTTTTTATTAGATATCTTTTATTTTCATTTCAGTAGGATATTCTATGAAATGTTTATTTCTAACTAGCTGACTTGCGCAACTTCTTCTGCGTCTTTTAAAAGGAATGAATTTTCCCTGTTTTTGAAACATTCTTCATTGATGCTCTGCTCCTATTGGTCTTAGCGTGATGATATATAAAGTTCCTCGATAAATGGGCTATCTAACACTGAAAGAATTTTTCATCTCGGACTAGTAGTTCCTGAGATTAGCTCGTTCTAACAAACAAACAAAGAAACTCTTCAGTTTTATAATATTAATATAGATAAAGTAAGATTGGTATTGCTAGTGAGCTCTTTTCCCATGTTTAGGCACACAGCCAGACAATTATACATTAAATAAGGCTGGTTAGTTAAGAAAGCCTGGCATCCCTAATGATTCCTGGGGTGTTTTTAACACTGATGTGCTACTTCTAAATATACAAAGGCTTTTAGAAGCTAAAGCATATTCACCAATCTTGTGAGCACTCCCTCGCTGTCAAGGACAATGTGGGTTGCTGTTTTCACTACATTGAGACATTGCAACAGTGAAATACCTAATAATAATACTTTCTACAATCTTTATATTCTAGAAAGTATTATTTACGATATATAGTCAATCTATTTAGATCAATTAATATTAAAATACCACCACAATGCACCACCAGCTATTGCAGTAAAATAATATATATTAATTACTAAGACTGCCTGTTGTAATACCACAAGTAAATGTCCATCTATGTCTATATAAATTATATACTATAGCAGCTATATAAAGATGTATAAACAAAAGAAAACAGTAATAGGTAAGTAAACAATTTTTTTGTGATGAATATAGATAAATGTATAAATAGCATGGGACTCTCACATAGCATTAACTAACTTTTAGTGAGCATCTTAGATGTACCTATTGCCTATAAGGCAAAGGAAGTGCCTATACAAAAGAACAGCAGAAGTATGGGACAGTACTCCCTTCTGTCTTCCTGAGTGTAAACAGACAACTGAGGAATATCTATACAAATAAATAAAATTGGAGTGTCTGTTTCTAATATTAAAATAACCGCTTTTTACTAAATGCATATATATGTTTACACGTGTACATATGTATGTTTACACGGTACATATGAAAAAATAACATTTTTTACAATTTTTGTCAGTCTGTTTGTTCCGGGTAATCTCAGGAACGGCTGGACTGATTTCGGCGGGACTTTCTGTGGCAGATAGCTGATGGCATAAGGAGTAACTTAGGCTACTTTTTTTTGACTAGCTTCGCCCCGCGGCGTTGCCCGCGGTTATAACACCAAACGCGGGTAACACCGCGGGTTTCAGCTAGTAGAATAATATAATAAGGAGGCAAGCATACCATGAGGCTGTAAGTCCTGGGGATCTGTGTACTGATGTAACATAGCTTTGGCTTCAGCTAACTCAGCAAGTGCTGTCGCTTCTCTATCACTTGCAGCTCTCAGCTCTTCCCTGCGTAAATCAGCTGAAACGCGCATTTCTCCTATCTCGTTTATCATTTCCTCTGTTTTCAACTGCCATGATTTAATTTCCATCCGCGCTTCATCAAGCGCGGCCTTCGCAGTCGCTGCATCAGACAAAGCAGTTTTCGCAACATTTCGGATTTCTTCTAACTCTGTATTATCTCGTTCAGGGCTCTCTCGGACTCTTAACGCCTGTTCCTCTTTCAAATTTCGAATTTGTGTTTCAAACTTTTTAATATCAACAGCGTGCCGTTCGGTAATATCTGCGCGCTCTTCCCGAAGCTGTGAAATTTCTTCTTGCAGAACTGATATTTTTGAAGTTAGTTCCGATTTACGACGTTCCTCGTCTACTTGGTAACTTTCTAACTCAGCGTTTAAATGACTCTGAACATCTAATGCTGTTTGATAACTTCGTCTCGTTTCATGTAATTCTTGTTTTATCGAATCAAAGTTACTTAAAAGATTATCATATTGTTTCTTTAGAATATAATACTGTTCGCTTAGTTCACCGTTGGTTAGTTCTTCGGCTTCTGTACAAGTGGTTTTGTTGCTTATTGTAGAATAATCCATTCTAGAGTAATAAATATATGTTGTAAATATGCAGAATAAATTCACCCTTAACTAGATTTTTAAATAATGCAAGGTACCACTTAATAATAATTACACACATGAAAACAACGAACTTTTTGAATTTAAAATCAAAGTTCATAACACTTTGCATTTGACATCAATGACACGTTTTGAAACAGTGTGTTTTAAATGAAAAATTCTCTGACTTCTATAATCAAAACTCTATACTTAATCTTATTATTTTATTATCAATGGCATAAAAGAGAAAATCGAGTGAACTTTAGACCACACGACTGACACCAGGGACTTCCTTTCTAGGGTATACCTGGTTCCCCGGCTATTAGTACCCGAGACGGCGTGCGGTTTTAGTTGGTTCGAGTCCGACATGCCACCGACAGGTGGTATCCGAGGGGATTTCCGCAAGGAAAAAAAAAAAAAAAAAAAGACCACACGACTGAAGTAAAACTGCATGAGAGAAAGATAATGTGTGCTCTCACCTCTCTCTCTCTTCATACAGTCATACCCTGCCCCTACAGTCATATACGAAACATAACTCTCTGTCTTTCTATCTTCACTAACTTATATTGCCCTCTCAACTATCGTTCGCCTCGACTGATCACACTTTTCGTAACGCTCTCGTCACGCATTCACCAGCTTACTCCCCGTCAAGAAAGAAGTTTATTTCTCCCTCGAGACCGCATCCAACGAAGAGTGACTCAAATCGTCGATAACCAAAACATCTCCAGTCGGCTCGATCCCCTGGCGTTACGTAGAGATGTGGCTTCGCTTTGCATTGTCTATCGCATATATCATGGAGAGTGCTCCGAGGAATCGTTCGGAATAATATCAGCCGCAACTTTCCATCATCGTTCAACACGGCAAAATTTTCATCACATCACCTGGATAGTTAGCTCTCCACAACTGTGCGCTTTTCGAGACACTTTTTGCCCCGCATAACCAATCTGTGGAACGGGTTATCGTCTGCGGTATTTCTGGACTGGATTGGACTGGATTGATACGACCTTCAAACCTTCAAGAAAAGAGCGTACTCCTTCCTAAAAGGCCGGCAAAGCGTTTGTGACTCCTGAGTTGCAGACGTTCATGGGCGATGTTGGTCACTTTCCATCAGGTGACCTGTCTGCTCATCTGCCACTCTAACGTAAATAAAATAAAACATTAAATATTACTAAACGAATGTATTATGACATTAGCACTTTTTTACTGTCAAAATCAACTGACGTTTGCGTTGTTTTATAGGGCGGAGGAAGTGGGAAGTTGTTATCAAAAATAAGGCAAATAAACACAATTTATCCTCTAAAATCGTCACAATGTCATCTCCTCCTCCCACCAAACCCCCTAGAGGGGTCAAACAAGGAAAAGAAACAGTGAGTATAAGTTTGAGCATCAAACATGCCACCGCCGTCTAAAGTAAGGAATTTAAGTTCTGTATATATTATCAGATTTGATTATCAGCTTTGAAATTTTCTTGTTAAACATTCTCTTTTATGTGAAGTTATTGTATCTTCTTCATTACCAATGGTTCATAAAACAATTATCCATCTTACAGAGTGGTTTGTTAATGTCAGTGATTCGCACCCTCTCTGCAAGTGAAACTAATGAGCAGCGAGAGAAGGAGAGGGCTAAACTTGAGAAAGAGTATAAAAAAAGTGATGCCAGGCTTGATGAGCTGGTGGCTATGCATGCCCAGGAAATAACGGAGGTCATGCAGGTGAGATTTCACGCTAAAATAATTTAATTTATGTTTTAACAGTATCTTATAAAACCTTAACTAGAGGTAAATATTTATCACATATTTCACACACAGTCAAGACTTTCTCAAACTAGGCAGAGCCTATGCTATAGTAACCAGACCACTGATAAACATTCTTATATATTTCTAAATACATACTTATTATAGAAAATTACACTCAGACACAGAACAAGTGATCATGCATATCACACAATTGCAATTGCAAACCCACAACCAACAGGCCCATCATACTATTTATCCCTCTGAATTTGACTGCACTCATGGTGTAGTGGTTTAAGCAGTCACCTCACCGGTTCCTACTGCACTGAGTGTTGTGGGTTCAATTCCTACATGGGACAATACTTTGGGTGCTCCACAAATTGAGGTTCTGAGTTCTGAAAAAGCAAATAAAAACATCTAGAGGAGATCTAGTTGGGCTCTGGTGACTTCACTCACTTGGTGATAAGCTACGAAATCTGGTATCAAGCCTTTCAAGGGCAAGCTTTACCGAAGTAACTGGCTTGCTATCAATAAACTTTCTTCATTTTTGCAACATTTTCATTAATCTGTGGTGTCAGAGTAGAATAATGAATTATACTATTATAATAAAATTATACTACAGGACATCTTTACGTGTAATATTTATAGTCCGGCTCCGCTCCTGCCGGCCGCTGCCCGACGCGGCTACGGCAGCTTTGCCCCCCTATTTTAAATCTCTGATATGAACTAAATTTAATGAAATGCTGTAAAAGCCAATTTTGTACTGTATTAAATGCACAACGTAACTAACGTATTTATTTGGATAAGGAATAATACTGTATTGTTCAAATAGCTTCATAAATTACCCATTATTTTTTGTAATATGTAAAATATAAAAATGGTTACTGTGGGTTATTATTACGAAATAGACATATACCGTCACAGACTTTTTTGTAGGTCTTTTTAAGATTACAATTCTGTAGTATATTATTTTGATCTAAGGTTTAGCCAGCAGCGTTTGCAATGCAAGCACACAAAAAAATGTTTTTACAACTTCACATTACAATTCTTTGAAATTCTTGGATTTCCTCTACTATAACATGCATGTATCATACATATAAACCCGCCTCTTAAATCACTTTCTCTTTTAAGTAGTAAGTAAAAGTATACTTTACATAACATAAACATGTTTATATTACAGAAATTCAGTAGTGTGGTCTCAGCTCTGACGGTATGGGGTCAACACTGCGATGCGGTTGTCGCACGACTAGGCGCATGCCGTGGCTTATTACGGTTGCGTCGTGATGACTTGAAAAGGCTCTGGGCAGATGCACGGACACATCATTATGCTCTGCAAATGCTTACAGATATGTATGTTGCCTCCTTTCCTCATCCTTCGCCGTTTATAATTTATTTTCCTGAATGTTATTGTTGGTTTTCAACAGTGAACGAGTAGTGGTGTCTGAACGCGAGGCCCGTGAGTCTTTAGCGGCTGGTCGTGTGTTGGCGGCCGCCCTCACATTAAAAGCTGCATTGGATACGGCGGATACTACACTGTCGCATGTTGATGCGCTGAATACAACTCGACAACATTTGCAGGTGCCGTCATTTTAATGCCAAACAATCATGTATATTGGGAATTGCCGCGATCACTTAATAGGCACTACCTTTGTATTTCGAGTGGTGATGGATTAAAATACAGAGTCACCATCCCTTTTCAACTAATGAGTGTCGTAAAAGCCGACTAAGGAAGCAAACTACGCAGGACAACAGCACTGCAAAGAGAATTAAAACTTGAAGCAAACCCTATACCAACCCGTCGGGCCAGCGTGGTATAGTGGGCCAAAATCTCCATCCTCCTACCTCGTTTCCACTCTAAGGAGAGGCCTATGTGACTGGTAAAGGCTGTTAATGATGTTGAGGTACCTTTGAATAGCTGGACATTTGTGCCAGGCTATGGTCACAGATTGACTAATCCATCCATCCTGAGATTTATCCATCTAGAGCCTGATATTATTTAATTTTTCTCCGTCATGTACCATAGCATTATATTACACTGACAAGGTGCCTATTTTGTTTGTAAATCGACAAGTCTTTATTTTGATGTATATCCGACCGCTCAGAAAAGCGAAGTGCCATTATTTTTATTACTGGATTACACTTTGTCGAAACATCTGGAAATTCATATGTATTTAATACTTATTACATGTTCGCATTAATACCTGTATTTATAAATAATTATAAGAATCAACGATACATAATTTTCTAAATCCAATGAAATGTTTTGTAGGCGAAGAAATGCGAGCTAGTGGACGTGATAGTCCGGCGGCTGAGCGAGGCGGTGTACCGCGACGATCGCGCCCCCCTGTCGCGCTCGCTGTCCGCGCGCAGGAGGACCGCGCTGCTGCTCGCCGGTGAGCCGAGACGCTTAGCTACTTAGCAATAGGTCCCCGAAGTCCTGTGACGTAATGGTCAACAGCCATAAGCATTTACAGATGTACGCGCAGACGGACTACCCCTCTACTAAACGTCAGGTGTGATCCGCTGTCACGCTCGCTACCCGCTCACAGACGGACCAAAGCTGTATCCTTATTTTAGAATATTATTGCCATGATGGTAATAGGAATTATGTTAGATGCACAAACTTAACAAAATTCCTTTGCAGAGTTAACAAAGAGCGAGGAAGTGACCGACGCGTATCTCCAAGAAGTGACCCCCGAGTTCGAAGCGTCGCTGTCTGAGGAGGATAAAACATTTGAGACGACTGTCATGATATCACTGGAAGCGCTGGGAGTTTTGGAACAACTGAAAGAAGCTACTGAGGTATAAAAACAGAGATTTAGTAAGAATATTTTAATATTTTTTATTCGCGTGTGTGTATTTTTTATTCGGATGTCTGACCATTTTTCAAGGAATGAAGCAACTCGGAACACATACATTAGTAAAACTGTATATCTTTAAATAACCGTTTTATCTGTGTTAATGGTCACTGCTCCTCTATAATACAAATCTAAAATAAATGTTATTATACGGCCAAAGATTACATGACGGACAGGTCTCTGCTCCATTACTCTGTACCCCAGTCATGATGTGTTCAGTGTTTCCTACTCTTATTATTGTATGTCCACATTATTATTGCCTGTTTGCAAATTCTGTTAAAATGTGATCCATATTTAATTAACAAATTATTCATTGCATGTACCTATATTATAATAATTTTATCTATTGTATGCCCAATGGCAGGGACATAGCCGGACTAAATACCGATAACTATATCTATACATCTATCTATATCTATACAAATAAATAAAATTGGAGTGTCTGTTTGTAATATTAAAATAACTGCTTTTTACTAAATGCATATGTATGTTTACGCGGTACATATGCCAAAACAACATTTTTTACCATTTTTGTCTGTTTGACTGTCTGTCTGTCTGTTTATGCCGGGTAATCTCTGGAATCTTTGTCAGAAAGCTGATGACATAAGGAGTAACTTAGGCTACTTTTTTTAGACTAGCTTCGCCCCGCGGCCTTGCCCGCGGTTATAACAACAAACGCGGGTAACACCGCGGGTCTCAGCTAGTCATCTATAAAAAAATAAATATAATCCAACTAGTAGTTCCTGGTGAGTGTGTTTAAGCTAACAAAAATTCAAACATACACTTCACAACAAAAGCCTTTAACAGCCCACATGCTGGACATAGGCCTCTCCTTAGATAAGAGGTTTTAGACACTTCTGCTATCAAAAAATAATAAAGTTGAGCCTGTCAGAAGTGAAACATCGAAATTATTTTGTAGAAATAATGTCTATAAAAGGATAGCTTATGAAATAAAATTATTATTTTTTTTTTTTTTAAATATAATAAAAAATAAAATATTTAGTTTTTTTTTTTAAATGAGTAAATTTTATATAAATTTATATTAATTTAATATAAAAATTAAATGGAACAAACTTAATTCTCTTTAATAGTGAGTTCTGTATCACATAGCGTGGCGACGCATACCGTGCCGTCGCCACACCAACAGCTGGTTTGATCTTCCTCATTCAATGTTTCACATCAAAAACTTTTTTCCAGAAATTTAAATGCCAAATCCAAAACGAACTCCTTGAAGTAATAGACTCAGTTTCCCGGCGTATTATTGAAGAGGGAGAGGTAGAAGTGGATGTAGAATTGGAAGAGGATGGTGAGATACCTGACAGTGAGGGTGTGACAGAGACGGGGCGACCACTCGCGAGGCTCGTTACTAGCCTCAGTGAAGAGTTTAGGGCTTGTGCTACAAGAAATAAGAGGTATGTAAATACAATACATACTTATATTATAAATGCCCAGCAGTAAGAGAGACCTATGTCCAGCAGTGGACTGTTAAGGCTGTTGATGATGATGATGATGATTATAAATGCGAAAGTGTGTCTCTCTGTATTTCTGTCTGTTACCTCTTCACGCTTAAACCGCTGAACAGATTTAGATGAAATTTGGCATAGAGATAGTCCGGTTTTTATCCCAGAAATAATAATTTAAGGGGGTGAAAAGGGATCATAATCAGAATGCTTTATTTGTAAACATAGGTAGGTACGGTTAAAATGATTGTGATTTATCACAGTATGAAATAGGTACGCTATGTTTTGCCTTATGGCGTACAAATATTTTTGATACACGCAATACATACATAAAAACATGAGAAATAATTTAGGCAAAAAAGATAATTTAACAATAATCATAATTAATACCATGTCAAAATAATAGTGCGTTATCATCATAATAATTACTAAAAATTTTAGATAAATGCCATGGAATTTGGCAGTTCTGTAATGTCCACAATTATCTATGTTCGAGTGTCAATATTTTACAATTAATGTGGAAGTGTGTATGGGGAATCAAAAACCGCTGAACCGATTTAGGTGAAATTTGGTATGGAGATATTTTGATTCTTGGGGAAAGACACAGGCTACTTTTTACCGCGATAACTGACATTTACGCGGGCGGAGCCACGGGCAAAAGCTAGTTATCTACAAATTAAAAGGATTTTGGAATGTGGTGGCAAATAATGCACGAATTATACTGAAACGTATTTAATTCATATACAAAAAAAGAGAGGTGATTTGGTTCTTGCCTTTAGCGTACTTAATATCCTCCCTCGTATCTAATCGAATCTAATTGCAGTTGTTCACATATAATTGCTGTTTGTTATAATAATAATAATATTATTTTGGACATCTAACATACAACGCCATCTAGGTTCAAACTACACACAGCTTGTATTATGAAAGATTGATTGATAGATGACCTAAATCCTTTTTTTTGTAAATATATACAAAGAAAACAGACAAACTTCAAAAAAAACATTTGCAGATTATACAAACATTTGGTCCGGGAATCGAACCAGAAATCTTAGCACAGGAGTTGCATCCGCTACCAGTGCAGTCTATAACTTAGGCTAATCCATATAAGAAAAAAATAATAAATAGAATGGTTTTTTTATTGCTTACAGATTATTACTTCTGTGGAGAGCATCGCTACAAAAATATCGTTTATCCGACTCTTGCCTCCACACAGAGCAACATTATTGGAGTGCGGTTCAACAAGTCGTAAGTGCATTTATATTCCAGTATTATTACAACCTTATTTAAATTGTCTTATAGTTTATTGTTGAATTGGATCAAATTTTTTACTCTCTTTATTCTTATATTATTGGCCAGTATAACTTGACCTGACATTCTAAAGGCTTCTTACCATGACAGGTAAGTATGTATAATGACGCAGGTAAGAATATTACAACTCCAATTGCATTAAGACATCATCATCAGCCTATCGCGGTCTACTGCTGGAGATAGGCTTCTCCCATTGCATGTCACTTAGATCGATTTTCAGCTTCTCGCATCTAGCATAATAATAATAGACTTTTATTGAGGGCTTAGTGTGAGTTTATTTCACATTAAGTCTTTTCGACGACGAGCGCGTTTTGCGTTGCGATTGGTGAAGGATTTCAGTGCGGCAGAATCACACTCGGCCCTCACGTAGCGTTTTGCCAACGTTATCGTTAAGAGTGAGCAGTAATAGGGGTCGGTTGTGCAGCTGCAGCTGCTGCTGACGGAGTACCTGGAGATAGAGAGCGTGAACCTGGCGGCGCAGCTCCGCGCGGCGCCGGCGGAGGGCCCCGCCGACCTGCGCCTCGCCGACTACTTCGCCAAGAGGCGCCCGCCGCACCGACGGACCAAGCTCTTCAAGCTGCAAGGTACTGCTTTTAGTACAAATCTCTAACCATACCGAATCGCTCCTAGAAGAAGCCTTTGAACGCCCCAGGAGGCTTCTGCGCTTCTGGAAGAAGCTCGGTTGGCTCACCTAGCTAACCAGTCCTCGACTCATAAAGGACCACTCTCGAGTTTAAATCCGGAAACCGAAATTCACAACCGATACTGTTTTTAGTAGTCAATTACTTTTCATTCCAACGATTGTGGATAGAAATATTCCATCATCATCATCAACAGCCTATAACAGTCCACCGCTGGACATAGGCCTCTCCTTAAAAAGGAGGTTTTGGCCTACTATACCACGCTGGCCAGACGGGTCGGTATAGGGTTTGTTTCAAGTCTTCCTTCTCTTTGCAGTGCTGTTGTCCTACGTAGTTTGCTCCCTTAGTCGGCACCCACAGGGTGAATAGGGGTAGTGACGCTTCGCATTCTTAAACCGTCACCACATGGACTAAACAACAACGAAACATTTATTTATACTTTATGCACAAATGTAACAAAGGCAGACTTAATACCGTAGACATTTTGTCCCAGTCGACTTTGGCGCGATGCAGAGCTAAAAATAATGGATTGAAACATCCCGTATCCCTTACCTTTTTTCCCGATAAAATGTGTTCAACATTACATGATTATTGAATACGCGCAACAAGGAAACTCGTTTTTTATAAATTATATTTTGATTACTTCCAAATCAGAAAATTAAAAACATTTTTATCACGCGTTTCTGTGTGTGTATTGAAGACTTGAGTTTTGAAGTCCTTAACGTTTACTCAGGTAGTTAAAACAAACTAATTATAAAAAAAAAAGCTCAACCTTAGGTACTTAAAATTTACAAATCGTCGATGTTAATATTTTTATGTACTCGGTTTCACTTTAACAATTAAGATGGCGTAGTGGTTTAAGCGGTCACTTCGCCGTTTCCTACTGCACTGAGTGTCGTGGGTTCGATATTGCCCGGTCCGGGAATGCAAGTCGGTCACGGTCACTATAGTTAAACCGCCGTAAGCTTGGCCCTCCTGATGGTTTGCGGGACGCGGGGCGGGTGATGCGCTCGGCTATACATGACACGATGTACTAACTCGATATCTTCAGATTTATTTGTTTGAGATTTAATCTACACATGATGTAATAAAAATCGAATTTATTTCCATGTATTATAATGTCAGTGTATTGTAAGTTTGTATGATTAATTGTAAAATTTAATACTGTCAAATAATTTTAATAAAATCACCTAATCTTCATTATGTAAATTAAATTCAGATACAATTTAAAAATTAAGTAAAATAATAAATATTCTTTATTAGAACTTTAACAGTAGAACCTCTGTAAGCCGAACTTCAAGTTTTTAAATCTTTTGTGTGACGCAGAGTCGGCAGATTATCCATGTTGCAAAATAATACCGTGTGTAGTAGTCTTAAGAAAAATAACACGTACAGCCATGTTTTCACGTCAGTCACTGCCGGCGGATAGCGACGCACTAGCTAATTAGTTGAATGCACCCCCGCCCCGCGTCGCCCAAACCATCAGGAGGGCCAAGCTTACGGCGGTTTAACTATAGCATTAATAGAACGATGAGGCAGGTGTGTCGGTGGTGGCGGCGCCGCTCCCGACGCGTGGGCGCGCGCAGGCGCCGGTGTGCCGGCCCGCGCCCGCGCACCTGCACGCCGTGCTGCCCGCGCTGCACGCGCTCTGCGCCGACATCGAAGTCGGTCACGGTCACTAGCACTAATAGAACGATGAGGCAGGTGTGTCGGTGGTGGCGGCGCCGCTCCCGACGCGTGGGCGCGCGCAGGCGCCGGTGTGCCGGCCCGCGCCCGCGCACCTGCACGCCGTGCTGCCCGCGCTGCACGCGCTCTGCGCCGACATCGAAGTCGGTCACGGTCACTAGCACTAATAGAACGATGAGGCAGGTGTGTCGGTGGTGGCGGCGCCGCTCCCGACGCGTGGGCGCGCGCAGGCGCCGGTGTGCCGGCCCGCGCCCGCGCACCTGCACGCCGTGCTGCCCGCGCTGCACGCGCTCTGCGCCGACATCGAAGCCGTCACGCTGTGAGTGCCTGTCTACTCCACTACTCCACTACTCATCTACACATTTATTTACACTACTCCGTGCACACTTGGTCTCTTCCGATCAACCTTTGGGTGCTGTAAAAATCGTTAGCGATAGACGCACATAGGTTGCATCACTATTCAACTGAAATATACACTCCACAACACTACATACTTAAATCTATAAACAAATATATACCCATGTAAATTATACACTTATATATATTTACATTTACACAAAAGTACATATCTAAATTATATTCCACGGTTGGACATAGACCTCTCCTTAGAAAGAAGGTTTTGACCGACTATACCGCGCTGGCCAGACGGGTTGGTATAGTGTTCGTATCAAGTTTTCCTTCTCTTTGCAGTGCTGTTGTCCTGCGTAGTCAACTCTTACAACACCTGGAAATGAATAGGCATGGTGACACTCGGTTTTCTTAATCCGTCACCAAACGGAGAACTCCTCTACTGCTGTGCAATTTTGTGCTAACCTCTAGTGTCCACAAACACAACAGTCTCGGTTTTTGAACACAAATCAAAAGAAGATTACCTGCGACGTATTTACATATTGGCGCGTGCTTGTTCCCCACTGCTCGATTTGATATTGGTTGAACAATCGGGAATCAACATTAAGTCTTACTATTATACTGATTGAGCAGTTTAGCTGACTAGAAGACTTTTGGAACGAAGTTACACACTCTGAGCGAATGGGAGCGAAACCAAAAAATGTGTAACAAGACTATTTTCTGACACTTCAATTGGGCACATCGACGCTAACATCTTTTTCATATTTCATATATATAGCAAACGTCTCCCAAAAGCGAAACTTTGTGCCGACCGAAGGTCCATAGACCCCTCACGCCGTTATTTTAGTTTAGTGTTTATATTTTAATTAAAAATAAGTCAACGCCTACTATATTTGCTGTTAGGAACACACTACACGTTTGTAAAGACTTGAAGCTTGCACTAAGCATAAAAATTGCTTTCAAATCAAAAATCTTCTATTTGTCGACAGCGGAGGAGAATGTTCTCTCCGAGCGTTCATTACCGATTACGTACGTTCAGGAGAGAGTGAACGTCTGGCGGCGGCGGCGAGGTCTGCCATCGACGAGGTCATGAGGTCGCCTAGCGCTTGGAGGGAAAGGGGACCTCCTCCTACTAATGTCAAGTCTGGGTAAGTAGATAATAAAACTGCCATGGATTCGTATTTATTCCATGTTGACGACTATACCTCTGTAATCAAATTTTTCATCATGGCTATAATGTATTTCTAAGTCATTTTATATAAAAAATAGATTTATGCAATTTCAAATTTCACATTCATCCGTTCCGTTCCGTTCCCACAAAGGGGTACAAAGTTTTCATTTCAAAAGTTTTAAACACTTTCACGAGGGCTGCTCTTCATGTATCCGGAACTGGCTAGTTACAGGAAAATATTAAAAAAGTAATTATAACATTTAAAAATGAACTTATTTGGCTGAAGAACACAATTAGTTTCATGTAGTTGTCATTTGTTAATCCTTTGTGGCCTCATTTTGAAAAATATGTAACAAACATTTAGCGGTATAAAAACTTGTTCACGTTGAATTCCGCACAACTTTAGAATTGGCAAAAAACGGGCTTGTGTTGATTGGTGTAAAAAATGTTAAAGTACAATCAGGGTGCAAAAAACACAAAAGCAGTCTATAATATCTACACAGGTGATGAATCTTGGATATATGCGTATGATCCTGAAACGAAACAATCAACGGTTTGGGTGTTCCAAGATGAGCCGAACCCAACAAAAGTCATTTGTTCAAAAAGCACTGAAGCAAATGGTCGCTTGTGTTTTTGGTATAAATGGACATGTGGCTACAATGCTATTAGAGGATAGTAAAACGGTTAATTTTGAATGGTACACTACCATTTGTTTGCCAGAAGTCTTAGAAGAATAACAAGAAAAAAGAATAACCGATTAAATCTTTCTTCATCATGACAGTGCTAGCTGCCACACATCGGCCGAAACAATTCAGTATTTGGAAGACCAAAAGATCGAATTAGTAAGTTATCCGCCGTACAGCCCTGACTTGGCCCTCAACGACTTTTATTCATTTCCAACCGTGAAGAATAAATTACGTGGACAGCGTTTTTCGAGCTGTGAAGAGGCGTTCAAAATGCACATTTTGGAGATACCATAGATCCATATAAGTGATATCTATATAGATACCATCACAGAAGTGCCATGAAAATTGGTTTCCAACGTATCCAAAAGTGCATCTAATCATCAAGGCGACTATTTTGAAAAGCAATAAAACTATAATAAATGCTATACGTTTGTTTCACTTTATTATTCCGGATACATAAATAGCGGCCCTCGTAATTGACGAAAGAAAGTCCGGTAATATAATACAGCGATTATACGTAAGCGTGTCGGGTGTGTCAGGGCGGGGCACCGCGTGATCTTCACGTGCTGCGGCAGCGGGTGGCAGGCCGTGTGGGCGGCGGCTCGCGCGGCGCGGCGGTGCGCGTGGTGCGGCGGCGCGTGGGCGGTGCGCGCGCCGGCCGCGGCGCTGGGCGCGCTGGCGGCGCACGCCCGCGCCGCTCACTCGCGCCTGCGCCCGCCCCCCGCGCACGCCAGCCGCGCCGCCAAGTGGCTGGCCGACGACGACATCGTGCGCTTCCTGCAGTCGCTGCACAACTGGCTCGCGCTCACGCAGCCCGCCACGCGCGCCTCGCCGCAGGTCAGCGCTTCCTTATAGTCCATTCGCGTTAAGATATTAGTGACGCATCCTGACCGATCGGCTTCCGAGAAGTTATTAAATTGGCCCGGCGACTGTTCACTATTTCTTAACGCGATAACTCTTGGAACTCTATTTTGAAATACACACTTACTTTTAGCAGTCGAATCGAAATGAATATTTGTTTATATATTTGAGATCCTAAAACTGATCTAATAAAGCCATGACAACGGTTCAGTATTGGTGTTCTAATAATAAAATCAGGAAATAGGAAATTAAACTTTTATTACTTTTTGATTCTGGAATATTTTTTCTGTATTATAATTTATTGTTGCTTAAACTCATAACTCGTTAATTCTATGTGCAAGTATTTTGTAACCATAAACATCAGTTAACATGTAAAGAACTTTTTTTGTTAAAGACGAGAGTCACTATGCCTGCCTACTTCCTGTGTATTTATAAACACACGTGAAACCAACCCCTAGACCCAGAAAAACCAATTTGTGGATCACACAGAGTGTTATCGATCTCCACATGGGAAATAGAGAACGGCGAGGGGACCGCTTAACTGTGGCCGACCCTAAATGAACATGAACAAAATGACAAACTGAATTCTATTCATTTAATTCGCTGACCAATATATCATAATAATATAAATACAGGTGTAACTAGAAATTCAATTTATGTTATTTATAATCATTTTAAAATTGGTCAAAAGTTTACTTGTAAACAAATAACTTATGATGTTCATCTATTAAACAATAAATTATATTTCCAGGACTTAAAACAAGCGTACGAACGTGAAGCCGAAATCCTAGGCTCCAGTTTAGGTGACGGAGCCGTAACCCGTAAAGAGATTATATCTGACACGAATGCACTCGCTGATCTTGCTGTGTTATGTGAAACTATGGTGAGAAACGTACCTTTTTACCTATTGTTGCCAGACTAAAAAAAAATTACCTTAAAAAAAACCAGAGACAATTTTTATGAAATATTTTTAATTCCATCCAAAGGACTGGCTCAGCACAAACATTCGAAGTCTCCCCTCAATGCTTAGCGGCTCTGGTTCTGTGAAGTTATCGGACAAGTTCTTGAACGACATATCTTCCGCCGCAATGATATTCGATGAGATCTCGCACAAGTGTCTGCTGTTCCTACATTTAGAGGTGAGTGAACTTTTCTTCTACAGTTTCTTACTAATTCATTATCAATCATCAGTTGTAGGGAACCACTTGAAATTAATATTTTGTAGGTTAAAGGTGTCCGATTGTTAATCTATACAAATAAATAAAATTGAAGTGTCTTTTTGTAATGTTATTAGCACGATACCTATACCTAAAACCAGTTTAATTATTTTTTGGATGTCTGTCTGTTTGTTCGGTTAATCTCCAAAACGGCTTGACCGATTATGATAATATTTTACTACCAGGTAGCTGTCTACATGAGGAGTAACTTGGGCTATTTTTTCCATCACAAAACCCCTATAAAATTTTACCCGGTCCGTGAATCGAATCCACTAAGGCACCGCTTTTCGAATTCCACGCGGACGCAGTCGCGGGTACCAGCTAGTTTCTGTTTACACATGTCTGTGTCGTTGAAGATATAGTTACTGTAGACATTTAATAACGTTCAGTAGGTGGCGTAGAATTAATAGAGCAAGGTTCTTGAAATTCAGGAATTTTGGATGGAAGATTGTAATGATCAAGTGTCGTAGAACCAACGTGAGCATATTTATATTTATAAAAGTCTTTTTCTTAGTGTTCATCTTATGTGGAAGTTCATTCAATAAATAGTTTGTTTGCCCTTTCTTCTCAAAAGGCTCAACCCCTTGGAAACGGGCGGTCGTAGATCGGCACAGGCATATCATAGATTTTTGTATGGGTTTGATTTTTGTTAAATTTATTTGCTTACTATTTGACAAAACAGAGATTGTTGCTTTTGTGTATGTTGATCTTTACTTTAGAGTCTACATAAAAGACGATTTCAAACAATTTTGAAAATTTTATGAAATAAAGAGAGTTTGAGTCTGAGTTTGAATAAATTATTCTTCTAACTTACGTTTATTTCTACTTGATATTATGATCATTGTCAAAATAGATGCGCATCCAATGTTTCCACTACCTGGGCCAAGAGGAACGTTCTACAGACAATACCGAAGAATCCGAAGGAGGAGGCGCAGCACAGCTTGCGCAGGCGCTGCTGTCGTTCCACGAGCAGGTGCACAACGTACTCGCTCCACATAGGCTAGCGGTAAGTCAACACTAAAGGAACTGAACTTTTCGTTTTTTTTCTTCCCAAGTAAAATGTTGATAAATGTGGTTTATTTATTTCAGTACATAATGAACGGTGTAGGCGAGATGATGTCTGCGGGTGTGGTGTGGCGCTGGCAGGGCGAGGCGGGCGCTCGAGGCGGGGACGCGCGCCTCGCCACGCTGCGCCACTGCCTCGCCGCGCTGTCGCTGCCCCACGGCGGCCTGCACCGCGCGCACGCCTACCTGCACCTGCTCACGTGCGCGCCCGAGGTACTGTACGGGAGGCTGCGCCATCGCTGTCGAAACGTATTCCTAGCTATTTTATTATTTTTGTATTTGCAGGAAATAATAACAGCAGTACGCGAGAAAGGTGCCCAATTCACGGAGTTAGAATACTTAAACGCTTTCAAAGTAATAGAAAATCGCCGCGGCATACCTCCGGCGGAGATGCGTGTACATCTCAAACAGCTGTCTGCGGCATTAGGTCACGTCGGAGTCACTGTGTAAACTCACACTGTTTTAGCTGAAGAAAAAGAGGATAAGACGTCACATGAAGTTTTTAGATTACTGAGCTGAAGTAAATAATAATTTTCCTCAATAGACGTCCCCTACCACAGTTCACCACTCATACATATTTGTTACGGCTTTTTGTGCCTTAGCAATGTTGTAAGTTAACAATTAAATATTTAAAAAGACAATTATGCTTATGTTTTTATGTTAATTGTATGTAAATCAATCATGTATAAGTTATATCATTTATAAGCAATAAAAATATTATACTCGTTTTTTTATTACATTTTGTTTTATTTATCCATCTACTGTGTGACTGTATAAGAGAGCTATTTTGGATCTATAACTGCGGTCTTTAAATATAGTGTGGTCTATGGATGTCACATTTTATTTCCAAGTCGAAATTATTCAAGTTTCGTCTATTTATTTCAATTCAATTTCTTAAGACGCCTCACTCACAATTGTCTGATCCCAAAATATGGAGAGCCTCGTTATCATAACTAGGTCCTTGATGATTTTTGTTATAAATTAAATACATCTTATAGATTATTTATACCTTTTTCTTGGCACATAGAAACCCCCTCGGGTTGTCACCCCACTGGCGTTTGCGATAAGGTGGTGTGTCGTAATCAAACCGACTTAACCACACGATGTGTTACTCTGCGCCTAAAATACGATAGATCCGGGGACCCCCGGAAAGATTATTTACACCTAACCTATCTTATTAAAAAGAGTTCTGTTGGTTTACAAACATATTCATCACCCATGAACTTCAGCAATGTAGAAGTTAATCGTTTAATAGGCCAAAACCTCCCTTATAAAGAAGGCTAATGGCCAACAGGTGACGGGTTGATGAAATACAATAGCAACTCTGAGTAACTAGAATTTACTAATAATCTTATTTAGTAATAATGTTTCATGGTTGTCTATCCTTTCCTATTTTTTGCGAGCTTGATATAAAGAAATAAGATTGATTCAAACTTCATCCCAAATTAGGAAACACGGTAATGAGTCAATGAAGTGATCGAATGGCTACTCATAAGCATCAGGACGTCTGACTAATATTATCTTATTAGAAAAATTATAAAAAGCTCCCAAGATTCTTGTTTAGTCTTGATTTTTTCTGTATTTACACAAATTACCGTTTTTACTTTATTATTACCATTCAATACTAGGTTATCGTTCGCATTTAATTCAATTATATCTTGAATCCCCAAGGAATTCTATACTTTTCAGCTTTAACCTAATCATTATTCTACAAATTAAATTTAACAATACACGCATTTTTAAACTTAATTTTAGAATGAGAAATTAAATTTTTAAGGATATCGTAGACAAAAAATGTCCAGGAGCTTAAGCAGGACAGAGTTGGCAGCACTTGTAATATTTGTCAAACGTCAAATCCGTGTCAAATAGGTGTCGAATTAAAATGTAGAATCAAAATGCCGGGAATTGTTTTCGTTTGAAGTCATTAGTAAATATTAAGTTACAAAAATACATTACATATTTAAAAACTTTGAAACCGCCGATTGTTCTCCTGTTTAAAAATAATTTCCTACAACCATGGCAGATACTGACCTAGCAGATTTAAGGAAACAGTGCATTACAAGTTTATACTTATGTACGGACAATGTATCGAAATATTTAGATAGTGAAAAGGAAGCAGAATTCAACAAATTAAGAACTTGTGTTCAGCAATACTGCACATTGGAAGCTCAGCAAGAAGTTGCCATTGAAGCTATGGAGAAAGCTAAGGTAAGGAACATTAAAAATATAGTGCGTACAGTTTCTCATATTTACGTTATTAATTCTTTCTTGTTGGACTAGGTATTCCATTTTGAAAATGTAAAATAAATAAAACTTACATAAATAAACCTATGGAACCTGATGGAAAGCGACTACCGCCGCCCACGAACACTACAGGCGCCACAAGCGCGTTGCCAGCTTTTGAGGAAGGAATACGCTCTGCTCTTGTGTTCTGATAAATCTGAATTTAGCTAGAAAATATCAATACAAATCTATTGTTTTAAAATTTCTAGAGAGAGACTGATGCTACAAATATCGCCACATTAGAGGAAAGGTTTAAGTCCCATCTAAGTAATTTAGCTGGCAAGAGACTGCGAGTAGATAATCACCCATACATGATAGAATTTAATAAAAGATATGAGAAGGGACAGCGACTTTCAAGTAAGTATACCTCATTGAAAATATCCGGTACTGATAGTGTTTATAAACATATTAATAAAACATAGAACCATATTATCTTCCAAACTTTCAGATTCCATGATAAATAAATGTTTGTAAATGTGATCATATAATAGGTGTGATGTATGTAACAGGCTTAGTTCGCCTGTAACCACAGCCTGCGTAACCTGGTTGAAACACCAAGCCAACCAAAATCATTAGTTTGTAATACCTATTATATGATTGTGTTAATTCCCATAGATGTATGTAGGAAATAACACAATGTTAATTCCCCTAGAAGAATTAAAAGCCCACTTCTTAAGATGCTTGTAATATGGACTATGCTGCACTGTAAGTAATGAATAATTCAAGCTGGGCATCATTACAGTAGTGGCACAATTTCTGTTTTAATTAACCAGATAAAATCAGTTTCATTAAATTTGCCTTTGAGTTTAAAGACTTATGAATTTAGTAAATAGTAATAATTATGTCTGTTTCAAAAATACTGTTATATGGAACGAAGGTGTGATGATGAGACACTCATCAGAGTATCTAGCATATTTGCATCAGCAAATTATTAACTTTTGATATGCCGCTACACTGTAGTGCTTACCGGTGAAAGCACTTTACAGTGTAGTATGCCACTACACTGTAAAGTGCTTCGTCAGAGGTTAATTTCACTACTAAAATACGACAGTATTAAAATCCAACCATTGTCTACTTGTGTTATTCTATTTCAACTTAAAATTGATTTTAATAATCTAACCGATAATCTACAATAATTTGAATTTGACAATAGCAATAGTAATTTTATAGAGCTCATTTTTATTCCCTGAGAACATTTTAGTTCTCAATGTAAATAATATGTGTGGTTTAATTTCAGACAACTTAGACGAGTCTGACTTAGCTATAACTGAATCTCAAGAACAATATGTAAGTGAATATTTTATGTTTTTAGTCTTTTAATATACACATATAAATGTTTTTATATCCTCACTATAATTGGCTCACTACTCATTTCCAGATTGATCCAATTACCAAGAGACCTTTGACAGATCCAGTCAAGAATACGGTTTGTGGTCACACCTATGAGAAAGATGCTATCATGAATTTGATACAAAGTAAACACAAAACCAAATGTCCAGGTGACGTATTTTATTTTAACCTTTGTAGTAACTCATCTTGATACTTATATACGTACTATCATGCCTCTACCCCCCACCTAAGGAGTTCAATATGAAAGAAAAAGTTGGTAATAATAGAAGGCAATGGTTAAAAAGGGAATTTGCTTATGCAAATGGATTATGCTTACACTAAGCAAGCCGAGTCGAGCCGGTCGCAATTTCAAAACCAGGGGAGCCAAGCGACTGCAAATAGAGCAAATAGACTGGCTCAACCAGAGTGGTACGGCCTTCGTCCTCACAGAAAACCGGTGTTAACTAATTCTTTCGTTGCTTGTTATCTGAGGGAGCCCAAACCCCCCTCGTATTAGTTCTGGGGAGGGACTTAAAGGGGCCACATCGCAATGGTAATAACTTACTGAACTGACCCGTCTGCCCCATATACCGTAAATAAAAACCGTAGCTCGAACTGACTGTTGTCGAGAAGTCCTGTTCGCCCGGAAGTCCTGTAACAAGCCCGGTTAGAGGACTCCCGGTTACAAAAACCCTCTTGATCGAAAAGTAATAGTCAGAGTGTAACTTGTTTATGTATTCGTATATCAGTAAGGTATGTTACATATGTGAAGAGTCTGCGTGAGAGAGTCGTGACTTAGTCACTTGCGTATGGCGATTCGTCACTACACCGCATTACTATCACATAGCGTGGCGACGCATGTACTTTTCGACACGTCGCCACGCCTACTCTGCTTTAGATGTTTCACATAAAAACGATTATTTAAAATATTTACCCATTGTGTGATAACAATGGTTGGCCACTCATTGCAGAAATCTTTAAGAGAGGCTTCTGTCCAAGGGTCGTTGGCCGGATGTAAAAAGCATTTTGACGGGCCTGTTGGTCTAGTGGTTAGTGACCCTGACTGCTAAGCCGGAGGTCGTGGGTTCGATTCCCACCCAGGACAAATATTTGTGTGATGAGCACGATCATTTGTTCTGTGTTTGGGTGTAATTTATCTATAATATGTATATATTTAGAAATATATATATGTATGTGTATCATCAGTCTGGTTACCATAGTACAGGCTCTGCCTAGTTTGGGATCAGACAGCCGTGTTTGAGATGTGTGAGGTTATTATTATTATTTCTTTTTTTCTCCTTTACGTGAGGACTTTAAAACTTCTGAACATTAAGAAAGCCGCCCATTTGTCAATATTATGTTAATAATTTCAGTTGCTGGGTGTAACAACCGCGGACCCATTCTACCCCAACATTTAATATCGGATGATGAGCTGAAGTTCCGAATGAGGATCACAAATCAAAAGTGTTCCACTATGATTCAGGAGAGGTCCATAATGGACCTGGATGACACCATGAATTAGTATTATAATGTTATTGAAAGTTTAAATATAAGTGATTATATTAAATTGTTAATGTTTTATTTGTCAATCTACATATGGTCCGTGAAGCATTTTAAAACGTATGTGAACTCGTAGTAAGTTGGTAAAATTCTGCCTTTAAGTGGAAAAGTTATAGTTTTTCATTTCGTTTAAAGAGTATTTTTTATTAAGGAATAGTTAATTACTCATCCATATAATTATGATCTCAAAATCGGATCTATTTAAATATCTGAAGTAAATATCGAAATTCAAGAACCGTTGTTGATGTTTTTTCAAACTAAAATCTGTCGACCTTATTCTATTTAAGTATGTATGATTGAAGCTCGAATGCTGTGTCTGTCAACCCCTCTGATCACCTGAGACAAAGAGACGAGGTCCATTAGGTCCAATATCCATTAGGTCAACGCCGTCGCCTAATACTTAGATTACGTGATTATTATTAAAACCCTAGTCTGCTATTAAGGGGTATGAAATAAATTTATAATAAACTTACAAAATTAGACCACGTGACTATGAGAGAGATTCGTTAGTCCAACTTCTGAAATAGTTGGATCACGACCCTTAGTCCAACTAGTTGAATAAAGCAGTTATACCACTGCCTGGTACCCGAAATCGAATGCTACAATTTTGAATCGAAAATCAATATAAAAATTAATCGTAATTTTTTTTACCGACTTAAAAAAAGGAGGTGCAGTATTACTACCCTCTCCTACATCCTATATACTTCTCTCCTGCTACAGCAGGAGAAGAGTAAAAGTAAGTAGTATTACCCATATGGCAGATATTAAAATAATTGGCACATTAATATCAATCATTCGCGCAAAGCATAACCAGCATTAGTGTGTTTGCAGTCGGTTTGTGAAAGAATTATCGTTGCTGTTTATGTCGTTGTTTAGTTAGTGTAGACTACCGATATTTATACCGATGCCAATGGCCACTCGATGGCATCTCAATAGCGTGTCAGTGGTATGACACTGGCTTGGCGTGAACATAAAATAGCAGAATTGAGGCCCAGGCTGTAAATAAACTACACATATTTTTTTTGCATATTTCATGATCTCTCACAAACCAGTATGAAAACAAACCGACTGCAAACACACTAACGAGCTGGTTATGCTATAGTATAAGAGGAAAAAAATGAATAAAACATGCGATACATGTCGAATATAATGTATTTCAGCGAAAAACTATTAATATCTACAACAATGCAATTGTTACTCAATGTGCATGTCATCAAGATTTACTTCTTATTCACAACTCTTCAACTTCGCAGACACAACCTGACCTTCACTGTTTAAATAAATATACAAACACTATGTCTTGTACTAAGACCACTGACGGCTTAATTCAAATCGTTTGGCTCGAGTAAATTAAAAAAAAACTAAAAAGTATTTTCTACAATAAATAAATGGTATCCTTCAAAATCAACATATTATTGATTCGTCAGTAATACACATGTAAGTAAATAATATGAATATGTAATATTAAACTTAAAAAATAATTGATTTTAAGATACAAAAATCAGTTTAAATTTCTACGAAACTTAAGGTATAAGTAAAGAAAAGAAAGAAAGAAAGAAAATACGTTAAAAGTGACAACTTAATTGTAAATATTCAATAACTTTAAATATTTTATTAAACAATTCTTACATTTATATATTATTTTCTTTTGTCAACTACGAAAGCCGCGAGCTTCGATACTAAGTGACTATGAACAAAAGCCTTTAATGGGTTTATATAAGATACATATATACATTTTTTTTTAAACAGTGCTGAGCCATTTTTAACTTAATTGACGACAATGATATGGATTCGAAAACAAATTTCGATTGTAACTTAAAAACTAGACGCATCATGTTTTATGAATCTGCATATATTTTGAAGGCAATTAACCTAGCAGATAATAATAGGCTTAAATGACGACAGAATTTGAGTTTAAACATTTATGTAATAAGGTGCAATTTCGAATACAATGCGGATAATTTATATACAGGGTTTACAATCTTGATGACAATGCATCTATAATAATTATTTATAAATATTGGTCCATAAAACTATGTCAATAAAAGTGCATTAACAAGATTAATTAATGTTTAACACTAATAAACTATAAAGCTCAATATTCTATGCCATTATTCTAATCGACCACAAAAGGAGCCCTTGTATAATAATTAACAGTATTTTTTTTAATGAGCGCAAAAATATTTGGCAGTTTTTTCATCACCTAATACGAGGATTGATACATTTCATATAAACAGACTGTCATCCACATTTATATCAATCTTAATTTTTACTTGTTGTAGAATGTGCATGTTCCATTTTAGGGTTGAGCAACAGAACGTATTGATGTCGGGCGTTGCTCAGTCAAAATAAAAGTTTTTTCGTTATGACGGGCCTGTTGGTCTAGTGGTTCGTGACCCTGACTGCTAAGCCGGAGGTCGTAGGTTCGATTCCCACCCAGGTCAAATATTTGTGTGATGAGCACGATCATTTGTTCTGTGTCTGAGTGTAATTTATCTATAATATGTATGTATTTAGAAATATATAAGTATGTTTATCAGCAGTCTGGTTACCATAGTACAGCCTCTGCCTAGTTTGGGATCAGACGGCCGTGTGTGAGATGTGATGAGTTTATATTTTTTGTACGTGCAAGTAAGTCATTAAAAATGCCGGTTTCGAAAAAACCTTCAACAGTTAAAAAATAGATTTTTCTGAATTATATCTAAAACACTTTTGGTCAAGCCACCTTTAAAAAGAGAGAAGGTCGTCTTTTGTAGTCGAACTAAAATAAATCAAGTATCACACTACAATATGGCGCGTGGACTTAAGGCTAATAGAAAATGAGAATAGCGGTTTTATTCTTAAACTAACAATATTGAAGTATTTAGTTATATTTAGACATAATACTGAGGGTATCGTCGATAAACATAAGGTCCAAATGTTAGGCCCTTTAGCCGAAAAGGTTGGCAATAAACTGAAATCATTCATTATTTATTATATTCTTAGCATATGTATCCTGTATTGGTATTGCCAGATTAATATATTACCTCGACTTATCTTTTTAATTATAAGATTTATTTAATTTCGAGCATGGTTATTAAGCATTATTATATATAAATTAAGGATCAAAACTTTACATCAGATATCAGTGTTATTTTGATTTGTTGTTGATTTTACAAGAAAGTTTATAATAAAAACTTCTTTCAAGTAATCAATAAGTTCATAAGTTTATACAATATTATGTCTGGCAACATTGTACCAGGGAATCAAGTAACATGTAACACTTCCATACTATATAACAGGGGATTTAAAAAAAAACTCCTGAGGTTTATGCACTTAAAATGAATTAAAAAACATATACCTATTAGATTTAAATAATTGTTTTTGGCGTCGTAATGACAATAAAGATATTATTTAAACAAAAAAGTAGTAATAAAATTAATCAGTTTAAGAAAATTGCACGACACAACACCATCATTATCATCAACAGCCTTTAGTAGTTCATAGTCCTCCCCTTAAAAAGGAGGTTTTGGCCTACTATACCCCGCTGGCCAGACGAGTTGACATAGGGTTTGTTTAAAGTTTTCCTTCTCCTTGCAGTGCTGTTGTGCCTTAGTCGGCCCTTAAGATACTCACGGGATGAATATGGATGGTGACACTACGTATTCTTAATCCGTCACGATTTACATGCCAAGTAAAAAATTAAAAACACGAGCGAGCTTTACAGTAGTCGTATAATGATGTGTAACATTTGACAGCCAACTCTTGCTACGCGCACTTCATTGGTCAAATCAAATAGCGCGCATTTCCCCTGCTTCCTGTCACATACTTCCGTCCCTTGTCACGTAATCGCTCTTACAGATTACAGGAATGCGAGACGAAACATGTCACACATAAAAAAAAACTTAAAACATAAAAATAATATTAGTGAACACATTTTATAGAGCGTAGTATCTAAGGTTTCTAAGTTGTCTTCTAAATTTACAATCACGAGTCGAACCAACGTATTTATCCAAACTATTCGATAAGTGCACTATCGGATTATCAAAATCTTATTATTAGTTTGAGGAAAACGTCTCAGAGTGCGTTAATGTTCTACCTTAGTTAAGCTTATAAACGAAAGTGGCAACATTTATGATGGGTCACCATTATTTGCAAGTCATTGAGACTTCAGACTGACTGGTCTGATCTTTCGGCGTTTTTAGTGTTTACTCGAAATTATGTGTCCGTAAGTTTTTAAAATAGATTAGCTATGTTCAATCTAGTTAATTAGTTATAATTTGCAAAAATATAAATTACATCACATCAACATCCTTTGATAGTCCACTGCTGGACATAGGCTTCTCCTTAGAAAGGAGGTTAAAAAAAAAACAAGTTCTAAAGTCGGGTACTTCAAAACTCAATATATTTTTATCGACATTGTAGCTATGTATTTTGTTTTGGCTTTATTTATTCTCTTTTAAAATAATTCCGATTTGAAATTTAATAGTAAAATAGCCAATGGATTATTCTGATCTACCTCAAGAATTCTATTTATTACTAGTTGTACCCAGAGCTTCGGTTTCATGTTTTTTTTGTGGGCAACAAAAGTTCACCATCAGCTAGTGGTTTAATATCGCATTTAATAGTTCCATGTAAATCGCTTCACACATTCCAGAGATTAGCCAGAACAATACTTCATGTAGTATCACAAAGACCATGAGGATTGAAGACCACATCACAACATATGCCATAATAAGAAAACCCCGTTTACTTTTAACTGACTGACCGCTAGAGACGTATCCTAACTATTTTCAAAATCGTGACGTTAATATAAGCAATATTCGATTACATTAAAAATGGAATTATAATAATTACAGTAATTATCACTATGTGTCACTACATTGTACTTTGAGTATTTGATCAGTATTGCTGTTGTCTGTATGTAAATAGAATTAATACAACCATATTTATTTACTTCATCAGAAAGTAATCACCATATCGCTCTCAGATGTCTTTCTTCTCTATAACCGAGATGTATTTTAATCACCCGCTTGGTTCGTTTTGAATAAAGTTTTGTGGACTTCCTAACCATACAAGTTTAGGGTCACAACATAATTATTATGTAGGAAAAAATTTACCTTTTATGCAAGGCATTGCATTCTGTCTATCAAAGAATGTGTCCTGAAACACGAAATACCAGGCATAGCTTTTTTTTTGGTACATAAAATTTCAATAGAAGCTGTAACCGCATATATTATTACCCTTACGCAAAGCACGTTGAAATTCGTACAATTTATACTGACTTCATAATACAAAAGAAAGTTAGAATCGTCAAAAGAAGATTCTTGTGTTCATACAAATGAAAGAACTCATATATTTGTAGAGGAATGGAATAGTAGTAGGTCCCTTCGACACAAAGGGAGAATTCCCCGACTAATAACTTTCATTGCGCGATGCAGGATTAGTTGCTACGTAGTTCGGCGAGTCATCGCTAGATAGCAGTAAAGTATGTTTTAAGTTGGAAGTAGTTATCACCACAGATTCAATAAAGGTAGATTCTAGATCAAGGATTCCAAAAGTTTCCCCAGGGGTTGACATAAACAAAACTGATTTTGGGGGTCGACGAGGTCTAAAAATCGACCCCTCAACAATTAACACAAGTTTGAAACTTTAAAAGATACTATTTTAGTTGTATTACTTGTACCAACGTGCAGTAATTTGGCTACGAGGGGTTTGGGGTTCCAGTTCATTTTAGAAAAAAGGTCTCTTGCCCAAGATAGTTTGAGTAACTACTTTCTGACCAAGTTAAGAAGCAAGCTATCAATAGAAAGATAGTATAAAAAGGCAAAGAGTTTTAACGATTGGAATGTAAAATACGAGAGAATCGAAAAAATAAACGTTCTTATATTAATAATATACGCCTGAAAATTACACAGTTACTACACAAAATATCTAGCGGATACCGAATAAGAGAAAGTTAAAGCTATGACTAGATAGAAGTTTTAAATAAGCCTATAAAAATGTAGGAATTATACATTTGATCTTTTAGCTCTTAATTAACAAAAGTTAACATTCTTCAAAAATACAATATTGGTAAAACTTTGTACCAAATAACACCGTCAGATGCTAGTTTTAAGTCGATCTTTCAAGAAAATCCGACCTATAAATTGTAGAAAAACCCAAAATATTTAGTCAGATTTGAGAATTGAATCTACGAGTGTTCTAAAAATACATAGTAACAAAGTAAAAAATAATTGAAATATAACTATTACAAGAATCTTTAAAGACCTTTACATAAATAAACAATACATACAAAGATACACCAGTAGGATAAAGGCGCTCACCACACTTGTAGAATTGACATCACGTATATATAAAAACGTAAATTTATAAAATGCCTTATCGTGCCACGGGTCTGTTAGTTTAGTACAATATCCTCGACGACATCATCAAAGGAGGAACTAACAGTTTTGAACGCTTCCCTGGCACACGGCACACATTCAGCATACACACGGACCATTGATTCAGTAAAAAATCAGAAAGGAAAATTCTATCGAAGAAAACGATTTTTGTCCATAATCTGCATATGCATATTTTTTTTTCTCTTTTTTCTCTTTTCGATAGCATGTGTAACCAATCTTGCAGTACGTAGTAAGCGACTTATTAACCTTCTATGACAAATACAAGGTGAATTCGACAAATGTAGTCAAGCCTTAGAATAAAACTGAGGATCATATAAATTTAACACTCAGTTACAGCTTGGTGTTGTCCTACTCTAAAATTATTTGCCACATACCCAAGAGCAAAAAGAGCGAGCCAAATTTGCATATAACGAAACTTCAGCCATTTAAGATTTTGAACCTTATATAATTGGTGTTATATTCTTAAATTTGACGAGATGGTTGAAATATTAAACACTCGTTCCATTATCGGATATGGCAGACACGATACCCGAAATACAAATCTTCATGTCGTCACTCAAATCGTTTCTCGAATCACGGAACTTCTTCAAGGTTTCATGAACCTTAGCTTCTTTATAATCGAGTTGAACTTCATTGTTCTTTGATGTTATGTCGAGAAACGCGAGCAAATTTTCAGCTACTTCAACTGGCATTTTTGCACAGTTGGTGTCAACTAAAATTGTAACGTGCTTACCGATTTCCGACTTTATCAACTGCGATGTAAAGCTCTTTCCGTAATCGTAGTCAGTTGGTTCGTCCGGAGACAGTTTTTTGAGTGATTCTATCGCGAGGAGAGTTAATGCGAGGATTGCTTCGTTTTGCATGAGGGAGTGAGATGCCACTAGCATGTTCACAAGACTTGATATGCACCCATCCACCTGGAATAATATGTTCATTATACAGCGGGAAATTGACTTCAGTTAGTAATTTTATATACATATGTACGTTATTTGTTTCTGACGATGATACTTTTTTAACTCGTAAAGACTATGGTCTGTTAAGTGAACAAGGATAGATATCTCTAGTAAAATAACACTCAATCCGAAACAGTTATTATAGCTGTATTTAAAAAATATATTTATAACTTTGGACAGATATACGGAATGTTCCAGAAAGGTGATTTAAAATTTTCATCATCATCATAATCAGTCTTACATAGTCCACCGCTGGACTTAGGCCTCTCCTTAGAAAGGAGGTTTTGGCCTATAGGGTTTGTGTCAAGTTTTGAGAGGGTATTGGCTGTTAGAGCTATACGCGGTTACCGCACCGTGTCGACGGAGGTGGCATGCGCGTTGGCCGGAACTCCCCCTTGGGATTTATAGGCGGAAGTGCTCGCTTAAGTATGTCGGCGGACGTCTGAGTTCCGGGCGGTTAGCGGTAGTTGGCCCCCGCCCGAAAAAGTACGAGGGTGGCCTGAGGCCGCTCGTCGAGCCACGATGGTTCGTTGGTGTCCCGGCTGGAGGCCCCATGTGCTGGTTTTGCCGCCGTGGAGGCGTATCAGCCGGTCATCGTCTAGCGGGCAGCCCTGCCCACTAGACGATCAGCAGCACGGGATCCTTTCATTCCGACTAACGCATGTCCTTTCCGAGCACGTCTGCTTCGGGAAGTACCTGCACTCGCTCGCTAGGAGGGAATTAATTCCCGCTTGTCACCACTGCGATTGCAGTTACGACTCGGCTCAGCACACGCTGGCAATTTGCCCGGCTTGGGCGTCGCAAGGTCGGGTCCTCTTTGCAGGCATTGGAGAGGATTTCTCGCTAACGGCCGTCATACGCTTCATTGCCGGTAGTGACAGTTGTTTTACCGCGGTCGCATCCTTCTGCGAAGACGCCACCTTGCAAAAGGAGGCGCCGGAGAGGGTCCAAAATTGCACCACTTCTGTGATCCTTACTCTTAAGACTAAGACCTTATAGGAGCTGAAACTGTTGGTACCTGTAAAGGTTAGATGAGTTAAGTTACCTGGACGATGTGTGCCCAGTGCGGGTGGTGGCGTAGCTGCTTGACGGCCCAGGCCAGCAGGCGCGGCGCCTCGCCCCCCGCGCCCGTGTGCTCGGGGGCGTGGCCCCACCGCGCCACGCTCGCCAGCGCCTCTGCGTCGCTCGCTAGCAGCTTAGCCACACTCTCTGTACAAAATACTTTTAATCAACACTAATTTATTGGTATGTTATATAAATTTATGGGCATCTAGTACTAAAGTTAGTCTGTTAAAATTGCTTCAGGGAAACACAAAAACGCAGCAAAAATACAAAAAAAAATATTCAAAATAATATTTTTTTTGGAAGGGCTTTCGTGAAAAAGAATGGGAGTCTCATTAGCGAAATCAAAGTGTATTGACCCCGGGACGGTTTGGATTCACAATGACTCTGTAACTGGCACTGCACGGTAGATTTAAGATCCTTATTTCATTTTTAGATAAAAAAATGTCCGTGTGGGTAGCTCCGTAAAACCATAACGTTCAACGTTATGGTTTTACGGGTGGGTCGACAGACGGACCGGTGCGACCGATGCGACCGGGTTCGAGAAATCAGAATAACTAATTCTTTGACCGACCTGATTAATTATTTTAGGATTTTAGTTTACGTTATTGTTGTAATTCATTTCGAGACCCAAATATGGTGGAGCATAGGCGGTTCGGTAGATGGGTGACCTTGTCCGTCGAGCAGCATGCGCAGCGTGGCCAGCAGCTTGTAGGCGACGTGGTGGTCGCGCACGAGCGGCAGCGCGCGCAGCAGCGCGGGCGCGGCGCGGCCGGCGGCGGCGGCGCGGCGCTTGTTGTCGCGCGCCACCGACAGGTTGCGCAGCGCCGACACCGCGCCGTGCTGCAGCTTCGACAGCGTCGCGCCCGCCACGGGCTGCGGGCCCGACGCCGAACGGATCTCCAGCTTGTGGTATGTTTCGAATATGTCTGCAGACCGATACTCGTATCAATCGCTCTAGTGTTAACGCTCGAAGGAAGCCGACCGCTGAGCGTTAACTCTTAGAGGTTTTCACAGAACCTTAATTGAGATCACCGCAGTGAGCTCGATATAATAAATTGCCCGAACACCAGATCGAGCGTCAATATTCTGCTCTCCTACATTTTTTAATGATATTCGAAAATGAAAGTATGGGAAAAAAATTAAATATAAATTACAATAATCTGTCTAAATCAAAAACTCTAAATTTCATATTTTTTTCTAACAACGGAATCACTAAGCACTTTGTATTGAAAGTGGTAAGACACTAAAACACATACTTTGCCAAATAAAATACTTCTATCACAATTTACTGTGGGCAGTAAATATTTCTTTCTCTAGTTCTGTCAATAATCAACTCAACACTCACCAAGTAACTTATCAAAAATGTTGTCCTGCATCATCTGTATGCAGTAATCGTCCTGCCTGGCGAAGTTTCCAATAGCTAACACCGCAGTAGTCAGTAGGTGGTAGTTCGGAGAGTCCAACCATTTCACCATACTGATATACACTTCACCCATACCATTCTTATAAAGAATGCGCATTGCTTCATCTACAAAACATAGAATATATATATACATACATTATCTACTACATCATAGGCTACAAAGCCAGTATAACAAGCTGACGAAAAATCGTGAAATTGATGTAGACATCTTTTCAAAAAGTCTTCCAAAATTTAAAAGTAAAGTTATTGCGTCATTTGGACCTTCTTAGATCATCACTGTCTTTAATTAATTTCGATGATGTTCTGTATGTTTTGTGTATTATTATAGATATTGCATTGTAATCTTAGATGCAACTGTCCCTTACCATGCCGTGGCAACTTGTAAGTAAGACAACACTCAGAAAATAATTGTAAAACATGTTTGTAAATTATGTATTAGTGTATGTTTTGTAAGTTGTCCTATATAAATAAATAAAACTATTGGTACTTGGTCTTGTTATGTACATATTAAGATTGTCTAGTAGTTAAAATTGCCTAATCAACCAAGATAAACATAATTACTGATAAATTATTACTGGAATTAATAATTATTTTTATGGAAGTGAGGGCAGACGGGTGCCCTTGTGACGGGAAATGAACAGAACGACTACCGCCGCCCATGAACAGCTGCAACTCAGGAGTCTCAAGCGCGTTGTCGGCCTTTAAGGAAGGAGTACGCTCTTTCCTGGCAGGTTTGAAGGTCGTCTCCGTCCAGAAATAATGCAGACGATAACTTGTTCCAGAGATTGGTTGTGCGAGGCAAAAAGTGTCTCGTAACACAGTGCTGGAGTTCTCCAAGTGGTTGCGATGAAATTTTTTAGTTAAATGATTTACTTAAAAAGGAACCTAAAATGAACAACACCTAATGAAAGTTCCTATTTCTTTCCATTACTAAGCTAGGTTATTTATTTCTTTATGCAAGCTGTAAAACTTTTTACAAATATTGACTTTGTACATGGCGCAGTAGTAAAGTGACTATATGCAGTTTAGAATTAATTGTTTTACTACTTATTTATTCAGAACCACTAATCTCTGTTTTAATTAAGAAGCGTAAAGTTAACTGTGACCCAGGAACATATTTTTGTAATAGTTACACTATCGCATTAGGATATACCTGTAATGATAGTAGTATGTGTGGATACTAATAAATAAATAAATATTCTTAGGGTAAGCCATGTTATTAAGTTATTGTTTACTAGCTTTTAGACATGGGACAATATTATAGTGAACTGTGATTTATCATTCGATACGTAGGTTAGGTTTGCTAGGTAGTATGAGGTGACGGAGGGAGAGCTGGAACGAGTCGTGCGGCGGCTGACTTCCCGCAACACTGCGCCCAGACCTGATGGTATTCCAGGTCGGGCGCTGTGTCGGCGAGGTGGTGAGGCGGATTTTCACAGATTGTCTTAGCCTCGGTGTCTTTCCCCTCGGCTGGAAAGAAGCGAGACTGGTGCTCTTGAAAAAGGAATTAAGGACTGCAGAGTCTCCCTCTGCGTTCCGACCGATATGCCTGCTGAACGAGTCGGGGAAACTCTTTGAGAGGGTTGTCTCCGATCGTATCAGCGGGCACCTGTCGCGAGTAGGCCCTGATCTGTCGGACTGCCAGTTTGGATTCCGACGGGGGCGTTCGACGGTGGACGCTGTCAGGTGCGTTCGCTCCATGTCGCAGTCGGCAGTCCGATCAGGGGGGGTGGCGTTGGCGGTTAGCCTTGATATCGTCAACGCGTTCGGCACCCTCCCCTGGCCGGCGATAAGGGCGGCCCTTGAATTTCATAAGGTGCCGCTCTACTTGCGGGCCGTCATTGGGGCCTATCTGCGCGATAGGACATTAAAGTTTATCGGTCCATTTTTCCGGGATGTGCCTCAGACATGGGGTGTATGCCTTAGACAGGGGACAATGGTAGCTATATATAATAAAAAAATTACTAGATTTATTGTTAAATAGGCGAAATAGGGTCTTTATGCATCGTCTGAAAACAGCTTATTAGCAACAACGCGTGGGTAAGGAAGTAGTAACCCTAACCTACGGGCGAAAAAATCAAATGTTGAATCACCAGTCTTTTACAGTTATTTTGTCCCATGCCTAGCTATGATCTGATACACTAAATATACGTGCTGCTCATCCTACGGGAACACTAAATTTTTTCTAGATAAAACATAGCTTATCTGTTTAGTGGCTCAAATTTTATTAACTTTAGTTTAGCCATTCAAGTGTGAAGAAGTAACAAACACACACTCACAAACTTTCATATTAGTGAGATTGTTTTTAATGCCATTATCACATATACATATATATACTCGTACGTTCGTATGGCGTGTTTATTTTCTGTTAATTTGCATCATATTTTTGTCAGGAATATGTACCTATTCATCAACAGCCTTTATTAGTCCACTGCTAGACATATACCTCTCCTTAGTAAGGAGGTTTTGGCCTACTATACCACGCTGGCCAGACGGTTTGTTTCAAGTTTTCCTTCTCTTTGCAGTGCTGTTGTCCTGTCTAGTTTACTCCCTTAGTCGGCTCTTACAACACCCATGGGATAAATAGGGTTGGTGACACTCTGTATTCTTAATTTGTCACCATACACAAGTTATTGTTGGTTTTCCACTTTCAATTTACCTCCAGTTAACACAATAATAACAAGATCACAAGCTTGTTTCATGATTGACTGGACTTCAGTATCATCAGCATTGAGGTCTCCAGCATTATGTTTGTCCACCAACTGCTCTAAACGGGCACATACCAGTTGAACTCCACCCTCATTAGCCAGCAGGGTTTTAACCGAATCTGAAAAGTGTAAGGTTCTTCTAATATTGTGATGTGTGTATTATAATTGTAATTATTTTCTAAGTAGTTTCAATATGTCTTTTTTAGAAATAGAATATTGGTATCATTCAAATTTGTTTTATTTTATACATTCTTTTTGTAATATTAGCATATTGCAGTAGGTAGAGTAAAAATATACAAATAAAAATAATACTGGCTTAATATCCATACAGGTGTGCCGACAGATGTGAAAAAAGTGTTTTTTTATTATAACAGTAGAAACGTTTGCTTTTTTTTTATTTGAAAAGCTCTGACATGAATATATATCTATGTTGTCCATATATACACAATATATGTTTTTATATATTCAATGTATATATTTATTTTCAATATATTTCAACCCACCCTCGGTAATGGTAACAGTGTCACAAGTTCAATGGTTTTTTCTTATCTCAAAAAATACATTCTTTTGTTTGTTGTTCAAAAATACCCAACGTAACTAAAGAAGTTTTCACAAAAAAAAAATACTTGTGATACTCACCATGTTCAGCTTGTGTAAGTAAATGATCAACACATAGCTCAGAAATCTCCACATTAGTTGTGTCTTTCAAAATTTTCAAAACTAATTTATTTATTGTTTCTTCAAACAAAAATTCTGGTGAATTATCATTTATCACACTTAATATCAATAGACAGGTTGATATCATATCATCATCAAAATCTACTTTCTCCAGTTCCATAGACAATATTCTTGCAAGGACTTCTATCAAACCTCCTTTAACTATTGATTCAGAAAACTCAGAGCCACCAATAGAGTAATTAAGTAAAGATTTGGCCACAAGCATTTGAATTGCTTCTAATTTCATATTAAAACTCCTTTCAAGTAGTTTTATAAGAATAGGTATCCCGCCTGATTCAAGGATGATTTGTCTAGAGTTATCACAATCACAACACAAGTTCCCAAGAGCTCTACAACACTGTTTAATAAGTTCCACATTCTCGGTGGTGATGTCTTTCTGTAATATACCCAGTATAGGGGCTATAATGGCTTTGTCAGCGTACGTTTCACGTTTTTCTTCACATTTAACTAGTTCAGATACAGCTTGAATGCTTAACAGCACAATATCTTGGTCGCTGCTGTTAATCAAAGCTTTGAGACAAGAGGAAACATCATAATCGTAATCCTTTCCAGTTTTGATAATATCGTTTAGTTTTGCTTTTAATTCACTCACATTTGTTATGTTCTGAATTACTAACGTCTCAAAGGAAGTAGATTTTTTAGCAGAAGCGCCTAAAACATGATTATTTTAACAACTAATATATTTAAATGACAAAAGCCGACCTAATGATAACAATTACTCACCGTCCATTTTAAAGAGATAATGATAGAAAAGTAGAAGAGATTTAGCACAGTTTACGGCAGAATTTATTGAATTGCCGTTAGAATCGCTTTCATAGCTTAGTTTTTATAAAACAATAGAGAAAAATATAAATTTGGTTGACAAGAAGAACCCAATCAATGGAATAGTGTCAATGTCAAATTTGCGTTTAGTGCTAGCGCCGTTACTTCGTTTTGTTATGGTTTGGATTGATGTTTTTCAAGCATAATTTTTAACTCGTTTATCTTTAAATTCAACGTTTTTATCCAACACATAATTAGGTACAAAAGGCCCAATAGATAAATAAAATATCACAAGCAATAAGCAGATTGCTATTGGAGCCTTTACAGACTGAGACAGGTTCTACGTGCTCATAAAAAGCTACAGTTAAACAGCATTATTAGTATAAACATAAGTATAGTAAGTGCAGTGTTGTGTTTATAATATTATAGTGAGTAGTTTCGGCAGTGACAGGACATTGGGGTGTTATACGATTGTCCCATCAAAGACATGATGAATGTAGGAGAATGGCGATGAGTTCCGTACAAACACCAATAGATAAATAAATAAAAAACCTGCGCCATTCTGATAGAATAACCTGAGCCAATTTGGTCTTTCACATTTTCAAAAACAAATCGATTGATAGAATTAGCACACCAGTAGCTAAAACATAATTATGTTACATTCTAAATGTATGCCTATTTTATTTATTATAAATTAACTTTTATACTGGGTTTTAATGATAGTTAATTAACTTTTAACTGGGTTATTTATTAAGTAGAAGATTTTTAATTATAATAGCGGTAGCCTAGTGGTTAAAGCGTTGGACTTGCGATCAATAGATCGTGGGTTCAAATCCTGACCAGTACACTACCGACGTGAACCTACTCCTAACACAAGCAATTTAGCTTAGCTGGAGGGGTTAACGGGAATACTAGTAATTTCGGTTGCTAGTAGACATTAAAAAAAAAACTTTATTGAACTTTAAAATATTTGTTACGTCTACAATAGAAAAAACATTTAACCAGGTGTATATAATTAAAATTACCCTTTTGAACTAACTTGTAACTTAGAAGATATGTAAGATTATCATCCGGTGTTTTCACGTATATTTACATCGCTATGACCAACTCTATAAAGAAAAAAAAACAAACAAAAATCTCTGGATAATAAAAATAAATGAGAAGGTGCAGTGTGTAAGCACCTTTAAACATTTGATTATGAAATTTCAAATTAAACAACACGATTGTTTTCCATGACCTTGTCGGTGTATTTTATAACTTACCATATGGTGGAAACACGTAGGCGGTGGCGATAAAAAATCTCATAAAATACCACAGGGCGTATCGGCCATATATTATATAATACCACAGACGTGCAATATTTTACAATGAATTAATTTTTGTCATAAATAAAGTAACCCCCATTGTTTAGAGATCGTTATGAAGAATAGTTCATTATGAAGCTAACTATAGATCTTTTAGCCGGGCTTTCGTATATCATGAGTTTGGTTAGTTGTAAAGAAACGTATCTATACGAAAAGAAAAATTTCTTCGGTTTGGGAAGACGTCTTTTGTAAGTAATAATAATAATATAATAATATTCTACCACATTCACACAACGCCATCTAGTTCCAAACTAAGCAGAGCTTGTACTATGAGTACTAGACAACTGATATAAATACATATACTCGTATACTTACAACAAATTATATACATCTCGTATACTTACATACATATTATACATAGAAACCCCCAGACCAAAACATTAAATGTTCATGCACACAAATGTTTGACTTGAGCGGGAATCGAACCCGCGACCTTTGGAATAGCAGTCCGTTACACAAAACACTACGTCATTTTGTCGCCAGTAACACTTATACAACATTTGTTTGACTTCTTTGAGAGTGCTAGGACAAAGCACCGACATTGCTTTTTACAGAGAAGTGTAAAACATTTTTTAACCGACTTCAAAAAGAAGGTTATGAATTCGGATGTTTATATATATTTTTATGTATGTTCGGGCGTACCTCAGTCATATATGGACGGATTTTCAAAATTCTTTTTTTGGTTCGTTTTGGTCCCATTTAAATTTCATATAGATCTGATGATGAGTTTCGGAGACAGACAACGGAACTCTTCAAAAAATGACAGCAAATCAACCGCGATTGCTGATAGGTTTTTAGTGCTCTTTGTCAGTATTCCTAGAAGTCGGTTCAACTTTTTTTTTAAAGGATTCATTCTTGTTGGTATTAACTTTTCTCTATCGATGAAAGTAATCAAAGAATTGCTTAACTGGTTGCTTAACTGGTAATCAAAGAATTGCACTGGTTTTCTGTGAGGTTGTGACACCACTCTGGTCAAGCCTTCCCATTTGCGTCAAAGCATGGCTCTCCTTTTCACGTTATTTCGCTTGACAACATTTAAATACTAGACATCCCTGTACCGAAACCTATTTTGACACCTACCTCCTAGTTTGACACGAAATTTCCTCCAAAATTCTCTACCCTCACACACACAACACAAACATACACAACACACTCACTAACAATTCTGATTTAGTATAGATTGTTTTATTAATTTTTATTGTTGTTGATGGGTCTCTGTCGGCTCCAGGTGTCGGAAGGTCTCGTTAGTGACTGCAAAGCAGTTCTCTTAACTAATGCAGACTTTTCGCACATAATATTACTGTTTTCTTTGTTTTAGTTTCCAAAAAAGCTTTTATTATTATTGTCTTTCATAATTTAGCAGACAACATAAAACAACGCCCTGTCTATCCACACTTATATTATCGATACTTGTTGTGAAAGTGAGTTTTTTGTTTGTTTGTTAAACTTTCATAAACCACTAAACCGATTTAAAAAATTATTTTCCCAATGAAAGCTGCATTATCAGCGAGTAACATAGGCTACTGTTTAACGCGATGGACGACACACACGCGAGCGGAGCCGCGAGCGAAAGCTAGTAACAAATAAAAGTATGATACGTCTATCAATACTTATTTAGTTTTAAATCTTATTAGAAAAGTTATTTTTAAACTTTTCTCTGTACGACACAGCTACTACTAAATACATGTTGTAATTTAAATATATATACATTTTCTTAATTTAAGCCAAAAACCAAGTCAAATAATAATCAACATAAACTCAGCTGGACACCCAAAGCCGTTGCCTACAGAAGAAACTCCAACCATGATGTCACCTTTTAGATCTTTGTACCAAGGTGTAAGAAATAAAACCGACAAAAGAGTGTTCAGGAGAAGATTTGATTATGATGCTCAAGATAAAGGACATCAAATACTCTGTGAAGGAATATTTGATTGTTACGTGAGTGTTGTCTATATAATATCAAGTCTTAACTGACAGAGATACAACTTCATTTTCAGGTCTTTTACAAATGGAGATACCTACCTACTCCGTTTTAGCATACTTCTAACTTATCACTTGGCACAAATGGGCAAACCAAACACGACAATAATCTCCAACTGCCCTGTAAAACATGTACAGCTGGCTGTGTTGGTACATATAGTTTTTTTATTTACACTTTTCAAATCAAACATACCGTACAGATAAAAGATATTTTATTGTATTTGCCAGCATTGTCCGTGTGGTGACGGATTAAAAATACAGAGTGTCACCACCCCTATTCATCACGGGAATGTCGTAAGAGCCGACTGAGGGAGAAAACTGCGCAGAACAACAGCACTGCGGTAGAAGGAAAACTTGACACAAATCCTATACCAACCCGCCTAGCCAGCGTGGTATAGTAGGCCAAAACCTCCTTTCTAAGGAGAGACCTATGTCAAGCAGTGGACTAGTAAAGGCTGTTGATGTGTGATGTGGTACAGATAAATGCAGCTCTTAACCTTTCATCCGACGGTGATACTTTAATAAAATACTTGGTAATTGGTAATGGAAGAAAAAAATTAAGCGATAATTTTTTTTTCTAGATAACTTTTCTGGCTATAGAATCTTCAGAAGCTATTCCTGTACTATTGCGAGGTGGTGCCGGTTACAGACATTTCAGTGCTGTAGTGAAAGCCAGGCCTGGCAGGGAACTTAAAGGGCAGGTTCGTGCTTATTGCAAAAACGATGACAGTGAAGAAAGTCTTCTTCAACGTTCAGTGAGGCGTTCAATGAAGTTTAAAAAATCTTTAATTGAGCAGGATGTGAGTAGGAATTGAAGTATTCAAGATATTGACTGGTCATATTCGTAATAAAGCCTATGTTTTATTGTTAATTGAGTGCGTTAATCACACCAAGAACCAGTCCGATTGAAGATCTTGAGGAAGGTCATAGGGAGGAGTGGAGCAGTGATCATAAGCTCAGACTAGTAAAATGTGAAAAAAATGATGACAGTTAATGACCAATTTGTAAAGGTATCCGTATTTCATAAAAGTATTAACATTTTGTCAAAAATTATTTAGTTTGACAATGTAATATCGAACTGAACTTATGTTTCTTGACAAAATATCAATGAATAATATAAACATATGATAAGTAAATATGCAAAAATGTTTGTAGTAATAAGGCTAACACTGCCAAATTCTGGAAACCCTGAGTTAATATCTGTAATCCTTTTTTTTATTTTGAGCAAATCAGGTCATTGAGTTCAATATGTGAATAATTAAATGTATTGTAAATACAATTATGGATTTTATTACTATTACTTTTGAAAGTTACGTGTTTTTACGGCTCAATATAATTTTACAACTCCTAGTTTATAACTGACTCATAAAAGTTTGTTCAATCAATTTAGCAATTAAGTTTTGTATTTATAATTTCATCGTTGAATCAAAATTGTTACTTTCATTCAGATAAATATTGTTTTTAGTTTAAAAGTATCCGATTACATAATCGATTTCCTTGATTCGATTGATTTGCAAAACCAACTTTTGGGAACATACAACTTTTTATTGCATATAGAACGGCAGTGGAACGTGGACCTAAAAATGTTTGTTATTTAATTATTTTAAACAAGCGACATCACATCATACGAAACTTTTATTTGACAATTTAAAAACTTTTCTCCTTTGTCTATGTGTATTTTGTTTTTAACAGTTGTCGGTACTAATACTATTTCATTGTACTTGCCAGTATCATTTAAGTTTAAATTAAGGGAAGAATGATTTGAGTCCTTCTAACATTACTTACGTCTTTAGTTGACTACCAATTGAACTGTTAGAAAGAAAGTATAGCCATAGCCATCCAGTAGAGATAGGTTTAATATGTCGTTTAATTTACAGTACTAGCTGACCCTGCAAACGTTGTATTGCTATTTACATTATTTAAATATTATTATTTTATTGAATTTCTTAAAATCCGTTCTTAGCTGACCTCTACTCGGTGAAAAGAATATTCCTACCAAATTTCAAGTCTTTAGCTCTATGGTTCCAGAGATATCGTGATGAGTGACTATATACGTGGAAATCTCTTATATATATATATAGATAATAATTATTTTTAAGTTAAAAATGTTCAAAAACAAGGTAATTTGTAAGGTAAGGTAAATTGTAACTTGGAGTTTGGATATCTAATATCAGTCGCAAAATGATAAAAAAATATTTTACATAAATTTTGTGTTTAATTGAGCTGTGATTAAATGCGCATACATTGTCAAACTGTGTAAATAAGGACACTATAAAATACCGTTTTCATCCGTCTTTCATAGTGTATTTTATTACGTTGCCCATACTATCCTGTTTCAATTCTGTCGGAGTGGTAGACAATGGGGAAAACAGTAATTCCACTCCATAACCCCTCACGTTCTTCGGCGGTGGAAACGAAGATGGACTCCTCGAGTTCGTAAAGAAGAAAATCTCCCCATACACATTGCCACAGTGCGCAGTTGTCATAATTATGTTTAAGGGAGAAAATTGAATGAGAAAAAGTAAAACAGATAGGACGAGAGCCTAGTGTAGTAGATACCTACCTTAGATTGGGAAACAGGTCTGAGACTGCTGTACAAGGTATATGGTCATGGTATGGACCTTATAATTGGGAACCGAACATTATACTTTCCATCAAAATTATCAAAAATACACATATACTCGTAACTGTGTGGAGCGCGCAGAAAAGATACATCACTCGTGTTCCGTCCTATCCCTTTGCCAATCAACATTTCAAATCACACAAATACAATGTTGTTTTTGCGCCATCTAGTTGTTTTTGTTGTTAATTTATTTCCGTATTAACTACTAAATACTGACATGTTTTACCGACCGAAGAAGTTTAAAAATCAATTTGTAGATAGAATAAGCGCTTTAAGGATTTTACTTAAATGAATACTTTAGATATTTTTTCTTCACGTTATTATGTTGAATATTATTTAGCTGTTTTTTTTTGTTTTTGTTGTTGTTAGCTTTATAGCTGTATTTAGCTGTTGTTAGCTTGGATTATGTTCTGTTCTTTATAGATTAAGCCATTTTTTGTATCGTATGAACCCACAATACTTGGGGTGGTTATGTGGCGAGAACACTATTTAAACCATTGCGCCATCTGTCACATCTGTGCAGACATTTCTGTTATTTAAACATTAACAAGATAAGAAAAATAAATGGCCAAAGTTATTTCTATTTATCATTGAATTTGACGACCGGATGGCGTAGTGGTTTATGTAACGGACTGCTATTCCAAAGGTCGCGGTTTCGATTCCCGCTCAAGTCAAACATTTGTGTGCATGAACATTTGATGTTTGATTTGGTCTGGGTGTTCCTATGTATAATATGTATGTATTTACAAAAAAAAAGGATATATGTATTTATATCAGTTGTCTAGTACCCATAGTACAAGCTCTGCTTAGTTTGGGACTAGATGGCGTTGTGTGTTTGTGGTAGAATATTATTATTATATTATTATAATTTATATCAGTTGTCCAGTACCCATAGTACAAGCTCTGCTTAATTTGGGACTAGATGGCGTTGTGTGTTTGTGGTAGAATATTATTATTATTATTATTAATTCAATATTTGGACGACTTTATCAAACTACGTCTATAATTAAATACAAAAGTGTTTTGACTTTTGTGTATGTGCGTATCAGTACATCATCTACTTATATCGATGCAAATAATAAAAATAAAGTGTCTGTTTGTAATGTCAAAATAATAGGTTTTCTTTTTGCTTACACGAGTATTTGCACGATACCTATGCCTAAAAACTAGTTAACTTTTTTTTGTCTGTCTATTTGTTCCGGGTAATCTTCTAACCGGCTGGACTGCTTTTGATAATATTTTACTACCAAGTAGCTGTCTATATAGGCAGTGTTTTCTCAAATAAAAATATACCTATAGAAAATGTATTATATATATATATATATATATCTGTCTGTATTTTTTACGCGTGGAAACCCATTCGGGCCGTCACCCGATCCGTGTGCCACTCTGCGCCTGTAATATCAGGGATCCGGGAACTGCTATTACTAAGACATCCGGGCCCCTCCTAGCGCCTGCCGCAACAGCGGGCACCACCTTCAGGTACATTCTCAATTTAGGCGAAGTCCGGCACGCGCGGACGGGTGGTGGGGAAAACCCGACCCGTACGGTCGCATCCTTCTGCGACATGACATCTTCGCAGAAGGATGCGACCGCAGTAAAACATCTGTCGCTATCTGCCATGGAGTGTATGACGGCCGGCAGGGAAAGATCCCCTCCAATGACTGCAACGAGGACCCGGCGCTGTGACGCCAAAGACCCGCAAATTGCCAGTGTGTGTCGAGCCGCGTCCTCACTGCAATCGCATTGATGACAGGCAGGACTCAATTCCCTCCTAGCGACCGAGTGCAGGTACCTTCCGAAGCAGCCGTGCCCGGAAAGAATCTGCGTCAGCCAGAAGGAAATGGTCCCGTGCTGCCGCCCCGCCCAATCGACGATGACCGGCTGGAGTGCCTCCACGGCGACATTTATTTGTTAAGGCTACTTAAATTTTTCACATGTTAATATATCATCACCATCATCGCAGCCAAAAGACGTCCACTGCTGGACATAGGCGTTCTCCAAAGTTCACCACAGGAACCTGGAATTATTTTATTAATATACTAGCTGAGACCTGCGGTGTTACCCACGTTTGTTGTTATAACCGCGTCTAAAAAAAGCAGCCTAAGTTACTCCTTATGTCATCAGCTATCTGCCAGTAAAAGTCCCGTCGAAATCGGTCCAGCCGTTCCAGAGATTACCCGGAACAAACAGACAGACAGACAGACAAAAATTGTAAAAAATGTTATTTTGGCATATGTACCGTGTAAACATACATTATATGCATTTAGTAAAAAGCGGTTATTTTAATATTACAAACAGACACTCCAATTTTATTTATTTGTATAGATAAATAGATAAAATCAATGCTGGCTGAAATTGCGTCACTAGTAATTTACATATCAACTGTCAGACAGAGCCAATGACTTCATTTTAATTACACATTTCCCGCCAAGAATTGTCTATGGATTTAAAATTATTTCAATAAAAACATATTTTTTTCATTATTACCCACAGTGCACACTTGCGTCGTAGCAAATTTTTGTACCACTTACCGTCGCTCGATTTAAAAGCGTAAATATCTAATTAAGATACAAATAGGAGAGAAGTAATGTATTAAGACATAAATTGTGTAATAAACAGTAAACAGTAATGGAGTGGAATCAAGCTTTAGTGCCAATAGTTGGCAGTACTAAGTGTTACAATGTTTTTTTTATGTGGTCTGACGGCGAGTGAGAATTGATGGCACAACATGATGCCTCAATTTATTGTGGTTCAGTCATAAAATAATTATGACTATTCTAAGAATTTATAAACTGGCAACCCAACGAAACGAAACACATCTTGGCAAGCAGCGCCCTCTAAACAAAAAGTTAAAGTTAAATGGCATAAAAAATAGTTTTAAACGTAGATAGACACATATACTTACTCGTATTATGTTATACAGCTGACTATGTATACATGTTTTCAATAATTTTGCTGTGGAAGGAAGTAAGGAACTACTGTTTTTTTCTGTCAATCAGATTAAATTATGAGTGTATCCGTAATTAATTATATGGCAACATTATCTAGCGTGAAATCTACCTGCTACACTACACCTGTCAGCTGTTGCTCATCCGAGCTATTTGGCACCAGACCTTGTCGTTGTATAACACGTAATAGTATTTGTGTATTTATATAATGTGCGGTGACCGCGAACTGATAACCTTGTGG